TACGCGGCAATAGGCAATTTGGAAATACGAACTGTTGTAATACCGGTATATTTTCAATACTTTACTGAATGTGTATTTATGAATATTTCAATATTTCGTTTAATAGTATATTAAGCAACAAGGGTATAAAGGCAGCCATTTGTTTACGGTGATTTTTGTGACACGAGTGGAGGTCGAGGGCGCCGTAGGCGCCCCGAGACCGGAACAAGTGTCACAAAAATCATCGTAAACAAATAGGCTGCCTTTATTCTCGTGTTACTTACGATATTTTTTATTCCTAATGCACAAAAGTGGCGATTTCAGATAGCAGACGACAGGGAGAAAAAGTCATTCACTTGTTCGACTTATATGAAAATGGCGGCCTATTTTCTCCCTTGGGCAAAAATAACGCATGGGATCAGCGGTTATGTTTGCACAAGGGAGAAAATGGACGCCATTTTCATATGGTCGAACAAATGAGTGACTTTACTCCCTGTCGTCAGCTATCTAAAAGCGACATTTTTGTGCATGTGGGATAAAAAAAAATGTTATATTTTTATTATTATGTTTTTTAATATTTTATTACATAATATATCGAATAATATGAACATAACTTCACTGCAAAACAATTTATAACATATAAGTAATAGTATTAAATTGAATAAAATTTTAATGCACAACACATTTTTTTAATTATTTAATTTGCAGAAAAGTGTCAATAAATAATTACTTAATATATTGTTTAAATTAAAAAGAGATTATTAATTAATTAATAATAAATTAATTAATAATAATCTCTTTTTTATATATTGTATTTAATATGTTAGGTATTTATTGTAGGCATTACAATGTATTGATCACATTTTCTTTCAAGTTAAATATATTTTACTTCTTTCAAATTAATATATTATTTATTAAAAATTATTTATTTAATTGCACATTAATAAAGTTGGATTTTTATATATATAATGAAAAAATTAAGTTTCTTATATTCTTCCTTTGCATGAATACTATTAATTTATTTATTGGTTAACTAATAATAATATTATAATAAATGCAATTAGTTATTGTAATAATTAATTATAATAAAAAAAAAAAATTTATGATTATACTGATAATGTAAACTATAACAATAAATGACGAGATCCGCAGTCGGATCCGCCCCAGCACCGAGCCAGTACAGACCTAACATCCGTCATTCTTCCGACGCGCGTAGAAGAATGAAATCTGCAGGCGGAACAAATCCAGTACCGCGCCAGTACTGACGAAAGTAGAAAGGCGGATCCAAAAGTCGGAGCCTAATCTGTTCCGCGCCGGTTGCATTTTAGGATCCGAATCGGTACAGACCATCGGTGCTGGCGGTCCGTACGGGCGCGGATCCCAGGCGGTTGTATAATTCGACATTCGTCCGACTTTTCCTCCTGGGATACTATAAATAAAATATACTTGTGACGTAGAATTGACCGTATATTATTATTATTTATATAATTGTTGCATACATTTTTAACATTTTAAAGTCTTCAATTAAAAGTTTAATTATAAATCCTAATATTTTTAACTTATTGCAGTTGAACCTCAGTGACTTTTAATGTAAATATCTAAAAGAAGACATAAATGCCATTGGGCATTGCAAAATAATTCCGAAACAATCATTTATCCACAAATATAAAAAAAATAATTGCAATTTCTATTATTTGAACTTTTGATTATCTGAACCAGATCCTGCCTGAATTAGTTCGTATAATTCAGTTTCCACTGTATTTAAAAAATTATGAAATTTTAATAGTATAGTCATTAATGTCTTAAAAATAAATCCGGGAATAATTTAGTTTTAGGTCCGGGAAATCCGGGATTTTGCCGGGAATTTGAAAATCATAATTCGCTAGACACCCTGTTAATTATATTGTAAGAATTTTATTATTTATGAAAATAATTGAATTCTTTTGGAAAATTTTATTTAAATGGTAAATATTGAAAATATAATTGAATTTCGAAAAAGTTTTGAAAATATTTGAGGGGCTGGATGCTATAATGTGTTACGCGCCATGTTAAGTGAATGGCGCGTAACACGTTATAGCATCCAGCCCCTCAATTGAATCGTTTTTAAGAATTTTATAAAAATTTTTCAAAATAATTGAATCTCTGATATGAGTTTAATTATTTGTAAAAATAATTGAATTCTTGAGAAGAATTTTATATAAAGATAATTAAATTCTTGTGAAGAATTTTATTACAATTTTTTAAATAATTGAATTCCAATGAAAAATTTTATTATTTGTGAAAATAATTTGATTCTTGCACAGATTTTTCTAAAACAGTTTAAAATAATTAATTTTTTCCAATCAATGTATACACTCTCTTAATTTGAATCAGTTAAAAATCGTGGTTTTAACTGACAATCAGTGACTGACTTTTTGCTTCTGAATCAGTTAAAAATAACTGATTTTCAGTGAAAAAATAACTAATTTTCAGTAAAAAATAACTAAAAAAATAGTTAAACTTGACTAATTGAATCAGTCAAAAAAAAATTTACTGAAACTTCAGTTATTTTTAACTGACAATCAGTTATTTTTAACTAATTGTCAGTAGAAATATTACTATTTGAATTAGTGACTGACTTTTTGCTTCTGAATCAGTTATTTTTAACTGATTCGAATTTAGGGAACAGATTCTATTTTACAAAATTGAATTTTTGTTAAATTTTTTATTATTTATGAAACTAATTGAATATTATGCGTGGAATTTTATCAAATTTTTTTTTTAAATAATTGAATTCTTTTGGGAAATTTAATTAAAATATTAGATATTGAAAATAATTGAATTTCGAAAATTTTTTGAAAATATTGAATCGTTTCTAGGAATTTTATTAAAATTCTTTTAAATAATTAATTTTTTTCGAAAAAATTTATGAAAATTGTATTTTAAATAATTGAATTCCTATAAAAATGTTATTATTTAAGGAAATATATTAATTTCTGCGAAGAATTTAACTAAAATTATATTCAAAATAATTGAATTTGTCTACTGTATTTTATTATTTATGAGAATAATTGATTTCTTACAATTTTTTTCGACGAGAATTCAATTAAAACTTTATTTAAAGTAATTTAATTCTTATGTAGAATTTTAAAAAAATTTTTGAATATAATTGAATTTTGCAAAGAATTGCATTAAACATTTTTGAAAATAATTACATTTTGAAAATTTTTTGAAAATAATTGAATCGTTTCTAGAAATTTTAATAAAATTCTTTTAAATAATTGATTTTTTTAAAAAAAATTTAATGAAAATTTTATTTTAAATAATTGAATTTTTGTAAAAATTTTATTATTTGTGAAAATAATTGAATTTTATTTTTAAATTTTGTTAAAATAGTAGATATTGAAATTTATTGAATTTCGAACATTTTTTGAAAATAATTGAAATCCTAAAATTCTTTGCATTTTGAATTCTTACAAATTTTTTTCGACGAATTGTAATTAAAATTTTGAGAGAAAAATTGAGAGAATTAAAATATTGAGAAAAAATGGGTGACTAACTCTGAATTTTATTAAAATTTTATGCGCAAATAATTGAATTCTTTTGGGAAACTTTTTATTAAAATATAGTAAATATTGAAAGTAATTATAAATTTCGAAAAATTTTGAAAATATAATTTGAATCGTTTGAAAGAATTTTTAAATTATCAATTATATAAAAAATTTGTTGAATTACACCACCGTCCGTGAGTATCAGGACGCCCCTTTTTTCATGAGTGGAAAAATGCTTATAAAACGTAGAAAATAAGAATGACAAAAATTTTTCGTATTTTTTTCCTGAAAGCTAATGAAATAATGAAAAGACTGACACCTGATCGAAGAATTTTCGTTGACTATTCTGTCAGATACAGAAAAAATACTGGATTTTGCATGGTTTTCGTAATTTTTTAATTTCTCGAAAACTAATTAACTTTTTTTAGCGTTCTTGGTCTTGTTTCAATCTCTATTCAATGTAGAATCTAAATTAATTAATCGTATTGTGATATAAATTTTTCCAAAAAAATTTGAAACTGTGAAAGTCGGATAAAAAAATTTTGAAAAGCAGATTGACACTTTTTCACCAAAAAAAATTTTTTTTAATTGAAATAATTAAGTAATTAAAAAGCTTTTTTGAATTTTAGTATATCTATTAAATGAACATATTTTACATTGACCTTTTTGACACTTTAATATTCATGATAATTTCATTTTCATTTCATATTCATTAGCTTTCAGGAAAAAAATACGAAAAATTTTTGTCATTCTTATTTTCTACGTTTTAAGCATTTTTCCACTCATGAAAAAGGGGCGTCCTGATACTCACGGACGGTAGTGTATTTTGAAGAATTTTATTATAATTTTGAAGAATAACTTTTTTTAATTAACTGTGGCATTTCTGTTACAATCTTATTAGTTCATGGCTAACATTATAGACAAATTTGCCATGAACTAATAATATTATGATAGAAATGCTATGCTTTTTAATAAATTGTTGTGTAAACCGGAAGGACAGCATATAAGCAGTTACCTGTACAAAGAAAATTAAAATCGCTATGGTAATTAATAAATTAATAATAATGAATTCATTAATTTATTAATTATGCTATATTAATAAATAGTTGTGCAAACCAGAAGGACAGCATACAAGCAGTTACCTGTACAAAGAAAACGTCTGCCATGTTAACATGGCGGACGTTTTCTTTGTACAGACAACTGCTTATAAGCTGTCCTTCCGATCAGACATTTTAAATACTCTGAAGTAAGGCATTTCTAAAAAGTTTCTTTTTTTTAAAATGCCCAACAAATCTTTTTAATAACAAAAAAAGTAATGAAAAACTGAAGAGAATAATCGATTTTTTATGATTGGTAAATATAAAAATACATGCGTTTTTTTAAAATAATGTTTTGAAGAACAAAAGAGAACAGTTGAGGGTTATGGCAGTGATGTTTTTGGATGTTAGGTCGGCCATGACTGGAAATTAATATAGGGCGTTTCATTTGTGAGCAGGGTGCAGCGAGGACGAGACAGGTGCGGACACGGAAGTGGGCGGTTGCGCGGATGGTACTGCGAGTGGAGGTGTCGGTGGCGGTGGCGGCGGCGGAGAAGGAGGTTCGACGAAACAGGGTGAAAGGTGTCCCCAGTGCGGTATCCTCTGTCGGAATTTAAACGTCCTACAGCTCCATCTCGAGGACATTCACAAGACGACCTACGTCATCGATAAGCACGACCTCGGTGCTCAGTTCTCGCAAGTCGTAAGTGGCTTATCATCTCAACTTTATACACGCAGGACAAAATATATATCTATATACTCTTCTTCACTCTTCTTTGACAATCTGCAGCATCAGTATTTTATCTTAAAATTTTCGCTCTATTCTTTTTATTTTTTACAGATTCCTCCCTATATAATGTAAAGTTTTCCTTAATCTCCATCCTGATAATTTAAAGTCTCCACACTCACATTTCTTGACCTCAACACTAAATTCTTTGATTTATCGCTTCTTTTTCCCGTGAAACTGCGAGGGGACTTTAATACACTGGGCTTTTTTCTTTAATTTACCGTCTATTTCGAGAACTCTTGGGAAAACGATTTATTGACGATTCTGGTTTCCTTCTTTTTTTTAAAGAGAAAAATATTCTCTTCTTGCTAGATAAAACGACAAAAGTAAATATTTTTAATAAACATCGTTGTCATTGCTTTCTATCCGTGGGAAAAATAATTGCAAATGGCTGAAGAAAGATGTTTGATTCGTGCAGGTTCGTTTCGCCTCTTGTTACGAATCTACACGAACGTACACACGAACCGGAAGTTGCTCTCTTTTCCTACAGGGATTAAATAACATTTGCAGTGATGCCAACAGAAATTTTATATTTTACGAAATTTGGGGAAATAATTTTAGGTTCGAAATAAATAAATAAATACGTGTTTCAAATGGGTGGATTCTTTTATTGTTTTACGTAAGCAACAAACATTAATTAATTTTACAGTCTTGCAAAGTGTGTAATAAAACTTTTGCCAACGTCTATCGTCTTCAGAGGCACATGATCAGCCACGATGAGAGTGCAGTTCTCCGTAAATTCAAGTGTCCCCACTGTGAAAAAGCCTTCAAATTCAAACACCACCTCAAGGTAAATAATTTTCTGACAGTTTTCCTACAAATTCTCTCTTTGTTTAGTTTCATTTGTTTTGTATTTATATGTGACGCGCACTGAAGAAAGATACAGAAACTAAAAATTTGAGGTTATGTTTGTAATTTTTTGAATGAAAATACATCAATGTCCATTGGTCTTCGTTGGTCTTCTTTAGATTCAAAATATTTTATAAAAAATTATTTTAGTTTTTAATTAAACACAGAAACTTATAAATGATACAAACATAACCTTCAAATTTTTTGCTTCTTAGATACCTTTCTTCGGAGCGTCATTCATATTTTTTGATTTTTATTTTTAATTATTTTAACATAATTTTTACAGGGTTGCCACAGGTCAGGAAAAAGTTAGGGATTTTTATTAAAAGTACTGGGAAATATTATATTTTTAAAATTCATAAGAAAATTTTTTATTTTTGTGTCTTTATTTATTCCCTCATGAACTCTATGAAATTACCACAAATTCTAATACGAAATTTTCAATTTTTTCTATTTCTGACAATAATTTCTTTTTAAATAACTTCATTCTTGAAGAACTATCATAAAATTATTGAATTATTTAATGAATAATTTTACTTAAATATTTCAAAATTAATTGAATTTTACAAGAGTTGCGTTTACAATTTTCATAAATACATAGATAAACTTCAAAAGGTTTTAATTTGAAATTTTAGAACATTTCAATTTTCAATTAATTTAATTACAAATTTTAAAGAACTTAGATTGTTTAAAAATTTTAATAATTCAAATTTTTCTAATATTAATTAAATTTTTTTAATACCTATATTTAATTAATTATTAAAAATAATGGCTTTATAGGAGAATTTTAGTTAAAACACTTTAAAAAATTGAATTTTTGAGAAGTTACAAATGATTGCAGAAATTCAATGATTTTCATAAATAATAAAATTCGTTTTAGGAATTCAATTATTTTTATAAATAATAAAACTCAACGCAAAATTTCAATAATTGTTAATACAATTTTAATCGAATTCCTCGAAAAAAATAATTATTCTTAACAATTTTTATTAAAACTCGTCAAAAGAATTCAATTATTTTAAAATTTGTTTATAAAATTCTTTATGAAAATTCAATTTTAAGAAACATTCAATTTTTCAATAAATTATTTATTTTTGTATCTAAATAATTGAATTCTCGTAGAATTTTCTAATAAAAATTGATTTAAAAATTTTAAAATAAATTTCAGTTGAAATTTTAGATAATTATTTAATATTAAAAGCATTGTAGCGTTAATGTTTCTGTTTGAAAATAATTGAATTTTGTAAAGGTTTAAAAATAAAATCTTTGAAATTTTGAATTTTTCACACTTCTTTTTTCATAGTTTTTTTAAGAATTTTTTTTTAAAGTTTAATTGAATTTTTTTGAATTATTTGAATATTCTCAAAGAACTCATAAAAAATTATTAAATATAATTTATTTATAGAAGATTTTTAGTTAAAAACACTAAAGAAAATTGAATTTTTGAAAAATTATAAATAATTACAGAAATTCAATTATTTTCAAAAGTAATAAAATTCTTCGCAGAAATTCAATTATGTTCAAAAATTTTTTAAAATTCTCGGCAAAATATCAATTATTTTTATAAATAATAAAATTCTTCTCCGAAATTCAATTATCTTTTAAAATTTTAATAACATTCTTGGCAAAATTTAAATTATTTTCAAAAACTTTCCTCATGTCAATGATTTTCAATATTAAATATTTTAATAAATTTTACAAAAGAAATCATATTATTTAAAACAAGTTTTCATAAATAATAAATATTCCACAGGAATTCAAATATTTTCAATTTTTTTTATAAATTTCTTAGCCGTACTTCCATTATTTTAAAAAATAATATAATTCTTTACAGAGATTCAATTATCTTCATAAATAATAAAATTCTTTTTATGAATTCAATCATTTTCATAAATAATAAAACTCATCACAGAATTTAAATTATTTTTAAATACAATTTTAAGCAAACTCCTTGAAAAATTTAATTATTCTTAAAAATTTTTTTTCAATTCGTCGAAAAAATTCAATTATTTAAAAAGAATTTTGAGAAACATTTAATTATTGAATAAATTGTTTATTTTTGCAATAATATTTAATTGAAGAATAATTTCCGAATGATCGAAATTTCGTAAAATTGAATTGTAAACAAATGGATTTGAAACTTCTCAAGGAACTTTTTCAAAAATTATGAAAAATAATTTATGTAAAGAAAAATTTTAGTTAGAAAGTCTAGAAAATAATAGTTGAATTTAAAGTTTGGGAATAATTTTGAAAAAGTTTATAATATAAAATAATGATTTTATCACTCCGATCATCTTCATGTTTTAAAATAATTATTTTATAAGTTCTTGAATTTTAAAAAGGTTTGAATTTGAAATTTTTAAAAATCTTGAAGTAATTTTCAAGATGATTAAATATTTATAGATAGATTAAATATTTATTTAAAAATGAAGTTATTGATGTTTTCGAATAATTTGACTTTTGAAGAAATTTGTAAATAAATGTAATAGAAATTTTTTTGAGTATCTAATAATGTTTAGAGTGAATCAGAATATTCTTTAGGGTTAGGGAGAAAGTGAAAATTTTGTCTGGAAATTAGGGAAAAATGAGGGAAAAGGAAAATTAAATTTTTGTGTCTATCTTGTATTATAACATAATTTAAAAAAAAATTGGGAGTATTTTTGTAACGAAGATTGAATTTTTTACAGGAGCATCTTCGTATTCACAGTGGAGAGAAGCCATTTCAATGTAACAACTGCGGCAAACGATTCTCACACTCTGGATCCTATTCAAGTCACATGACCTCAAAAAAATGTCTGATAGTAAATCTAAAGAAGTCGAGGCAAGGAGCAATCAGTAATGTGGACAGAGGGCCGAGAAAAAGTCAAGCACCATTACAAAATCGTCGCGACGTTGATATGATTGCTGCGAATAACAATACTTTCCTGCCAATTTTACCTAAACTTTCGCCTTCTCATTATCATGACATTCATAACGAAGGAGGGGGTAAATATTTCGTTTCTTTTTTTTTCTTTTGAATAATTTTTAAAATTTAAGAAAATTCTCAACTAAAAATTAAGAACAGTAATTCACATTTTAATATAAAATTTTCTCTTAGGTATGTACGATGTGCCTACACTACTTCCGCAAATGATGGGATTTGGAACGTATTTTCTGCAGTCGTCATTGAGAAAGTTTTTGCATCAGTTGCATACAAAGAGACGTGACGATTTATCATCTGAACATTACGAATCTCATGGTGAAGTGATGAGTCCATCGACGGCCGATTCGGAGGGCACTGAGGGAACCGAGGGCAAAGAATCGCCAGCGCCAAATGAGGGATTAGACGCCGTTCGACGTATTCTCGAGACCGTCAATACATCCGTCACGAAACAATTACTCGAGGCTAACGTCAGGAAACTATCGTCATCGCCTGCCACTATCAAACGGGAATTGGATGACGATTATCAGGTACATTAATTTGATTAATAAATTTAATATGTGGCACCTAACCCGAGGCGAACAACGAAAACAGACTATTGTCTATATTATCAGGCTTCGAAGTCTAGTAGCAGGCCAAAAAGAGTATTGGTCTAACTTAAATTTCTAGCCATATCCGATTGAAAAATATTAAGCTGAACAAAAGTTATAGCTTTTTTCACAAATTTCAAAAAATTGAAAAAATGCAAATTTTTTTAATTTTTGTCAAATTGATGTGACACTTTTTGTAGCTACTTTTTAATATAAATACAACTAATTTTCACTATAAAAATGAAATATAAATAATAAACCCGAATTTTTAAGCCAAAATCATATTTTTGATTTTCGACCAAATTTTTAGTTAGTTTTTTTCAATATTGTTTAATTTTTTATGAAGTTGGTATTGATATCGGTTGATGTTTTAAAATTTTAAATTACATTCATTACATTTATTTTATTAACAAGTTTAGAGTCATGAATTTGATGTCTATTACAAATTTTCTAAAATCAATTAACGTGAGTTTGCAAATAATTTGTGTATTGTTATTTTAATGTTTTAACTTTGGAAATTTCATAGCATGTATTTTCATATTTCATTTAACGTAGAAAATAAAATATATGTATACGTTCAACATAAAGGGTACAGTAAAAGCATCAATAAAACTGAAATTTAACTTCAGCGGGTACGGTAACATATAAAGTCCTTAAAACGCCATTAGGTCAAATTGGGATTTATGAATCAAAATTTTCTTATTTTTGAATTCTAGAAATGTTTTAGAAATGACTTTGAAAATAAATAACAAATTCCTATTTATGAATTAAAATTTTGCTTCTTGAATTTTAGAAATCTTTGGGGTATGTTGTTGCTTTCCAACATTATATCCGGGCATTAAGCAAAAACGGGTAAAATGTAAAATCCCATGTGGAAATTTTCAATAGGGATATGGAAAAATTATACCTACTTGAAAAATAAAAATAGATTTTACATGGAATTTTTTTCTTAAATAAATATAGGCTTTTTGGGTTTATTTAAGGTATAGTTATCACTCAAAATCGTGTCGCAATTTACCATACGGTTTTACATGGGAATCCAAATGGTTTCCTTTATGAAAGTGGATCCCATGTAGATTCCCATGTAGGAATCGAAAACGTGTTATAGTTTCTACCAATACATTTAACAGAGTGTCTATTAACCGCGAAAGAAAACTGAGAAATAGCCGGAAATTTAATTCGACCAGGAAAAATCGGGAATTTTTTGCCAAACCGGGAATTTTCTTATCTAATTAAAAAATGTTTTATTATATTAATTCGTTTTTAAAAAATTGCTTTTTGCTTTAATTTTTATTAATGTCATATTTTTATTTGGCAAAATTTAAGCCCTACATTCAGCCTACAATATAGGTCTTATTTTAGATTTTAGCAGTCGTAACGTAGGGTCTACTTGCGATACAATTAGTTCGAATTAGACTCTACATAACTCCAAAAGCTGGTGGAAAATTAGGATTAATTTTTAATACATTAATTGAAATATTACAAACGCATAAAGTACTACAAACTGACAAATACTGTTCTGTAAATCTGAATTAGTTGAAAATAGTATTTGATAGGAAAAGTCATTTACTGATTCAAACAGTAATATTTTTTTAATGAAGTAGTTAATGTAACTAATTATTAGTTTTTCCCAATCAAATTAAATTCCCGATTGGTAGACACCTCTTCAAATATATTAGTAGAAACTAAAACCCGTCGAAGACGGGTACGACAGCTAGTTGTTAATAATACTTAAAGGAGATCTTTCATAAGAATTTGTTTTTTAATAACAGGCTCATAATTTTGAGAAGTAAAATTGACACCTTCTTTCTCCTTATTATTTTTTAAAAAACTATCAATAACTTTTTATCAGCCATCTAATTTTTAAAAATGAAACGTAAACATTTTTTAGTAATTTACTAATAACAACTATCAAAATGGAAAAAATGGATTGTTTTTAGTCATATAAATTTTTTAAATTTTAGAATCCACATAGCCATAATTTTGTACAATAATAAATTATGAGTAATTTAATTCCAATAAGGGGCCATCCATAAAGCATGTGATATTTTTTTCCGATTTTTGACCCCCTCCCCCCGGTTGTGATAGGTCATGATATTTACAAATCCCCCCCTCTCTATCATGTCAAAGAAATCAATTTAAATTTTAATATTATTAAAATAACAAACGTTTTTCAGCAAGAATATTTTTTAATTTATTATTCAATATTAATACTTATTTTATTATTTATTTATTTAATTTATTATATATTATTTAAAATGCATTACCGGTCAAAATTAAGAGACCACCCATTTTCAGGCGAATAAAAAATGTTTTAAAACATAAAATTTATTGAAACTAACCTTTTTTTCTGTTCATTTTTTGAAAGATGATAAAATTTTGAAAAGAACAAGATATTTCAGAAGTCGTTTGGCAAATAATTCATTTAGATATTTTTAAAAAATCGTCATTTTCAATTTTTTACAAAAATTTGAATAACTTCTAAAATAATGAACGCTTTTTAATTATATTAGGCTTATTTTAAAGGTCATTTGCTACACTATAATAATTACTTATAGGCATTAACGTGTAATTTTTTTCTTAGAAAATGCAGGCCATCAAACTTGGACCAAAATAATTCAAAAAATTTGAAACAATCTTATTAACAGAAAAATAATTTTTTAAATTTTTAAATATTTTTTTATAAAATTTTCTTGAAAAATCTACAATGTATGATATGTTATATATTTTCTAGAATAGTTTTTAGTACAGAAAAATTATTCCAAATTTTTTGAATTTTTTTGGTCTAAGTTTGATGTCCTGCATTTTCTAAGAAAAAAATTACCCGTTAATGCCTATAAGTAATTCTTATAGTGTAGCAAATTACCTTTAAAATAAGCCTAAAATCATTTAAAAGCGTTCATTATTTTAGAAGTTATTCAAATTTTTCAAATCTTTCAAAAAATAAACAGAAAAAAATTTTAGTTTCAATAAGTTTTATGTTTTAAAACGTTTTTCATTCGTCTGAAAATGGGTGGTCTCTCAATTTTGACCAGTATAGTGTATATTATCTTTTTCTTTTCTGAATTATGCATTATCTTCACACCAAGGGTTTTCCAGTAATAGTTGATGCTTAATAGTGGTGCGTTTTCTTTCTCCTTAAAGCCTAAATTTTCATTGTCCACGAAACTTTCATCAATTAGGTAATCATCCAACCACATAAATACTATACATAAAAGTATAGATTTTTTTCAAGAGTTATATCACATGACAAGAAGGCCAATACCCCCCTCCCCCTCGTGATAAACCATGACCATTTTCTTAACCCCTTCCCCCCCCTAACAATATCACATGCTTTATGGACGGCCCCTAAAAAAAATTATAATTTTTTTTCTAGATAGATCTTAAATCTTTATAAATGTTTTTATTATTGAACAACCGACTTAAAACACTGTATTATTGAAAATACAATTAATATTTTTAAATTTGACAAAACGTTTCTAAACATATAATAAATAGTCACGTTAAATAAATATTATTTTGGATTTTTAATCAAACAATTTATATATAAAAAAAATTTAAGTTTTTATTGTTAATTAATTGATTTTTTCTATACTTAATGCAACTTTTATAAAGTCAAGAAAGATATTACTATTAAATTATATGGTGAAAAATGAAAAATGTAGTTTTTAATTTTTTTAAGAAGCTTAAAGAATAATAAAATAAGATACGAAAAATTCGAAACGTTAGAAAGTTGTAATTTAATAAACATTCACTATTAGTAATTATTATAATATATTATAATCACGCGTCCAATAATAAATTTAATTCACTTGGCGGGCTTTTGAAAATCTACGAAATTCACCAAAAAAACTAAAATTCTTGAATTCTGTCAATTTTGTTTACCTTTTTTTGGAAAAAGTAGCATTTGGTAGCTTTTTGACAAAATAAGTAGCAAAAAGTAGGCTTGACCAAAAAAAGTGTCAAAAAAGTGGAAATGTGTGTCACTTCGAAGCCTGTAATTATAATAATCGTTGTATTCCGGTTGTTTGCATTTTTGTTTCCTAACTTTTTAAATAATTTCCATTTTTAAAATTAATTTATTCGAAATCATCGAATTGTTGCAAAAAATTTTATCAAAAAATTTGATAATAATAGAATTCCTTCGAAGAATATTATTATTTAGGAAAATAATTGAATTCTCGAGTTAAAATTTTTGTTAATTCTCATTAAACTTTTTTTGAAGAATTTCTTTGAATTTTTTTTTTAAATAATGGAGTTTCTTTACATTTTTTCGAAAAATTTATTAAAATTTTAGAAAATAATTGAATTATTTGAAATTTTTTATAACGAACTAAGAAATAAATTGAATTCTTTCGTGAAATTGTTTTGAATGTAATGGAATTTTTGCAAATAATTTTGCTATTTATAAATATAATTCAATTGTTTTGGAAGATTTATAAAAATTTTAGAAAATAATTGAATTCTTTTGATTTTGAAATATTTGATATCGAATAAGTAAAAAAAATTGAATTCTTTCGTGAAAGTTTTTTGAAAATAATTGAATTTTTGCAATGGTTACTATTTAAAAAAAATAATTAAATTGTTTCGAAGGATTCATTAAATTTTTTTAAATTACAATTAAACAAGAATAATTAATTAGTAAATTAGTTAATAATTGAATTTTTTTTTAATTTGAGTCTGAAATTATTCAAAAATTCATATTCGAAAATAAAAAATTTTGTAATTTGCATAATAATATTAAATTGAATATCACTTTGCTAGTATTTATATAAAATTCAAAAGAATATAATTAACTTTCCTTTTCTTTTTTAAGGATCAAGACAGTGAAATCTCGAGCGAAATGACCCATTATCCAGATTGGCCGACGACAGACCAATGCGACTCGCAGAGCGAGGGTTTGGCGATAAAACTCGAAGAGGTCAATCAAAAGCCAACAATAAGACAGGGTTGCAAGAGGAAAGCCGACGTTGTTGATTCATCGGAGGTTGATTCCGAGGATGAAGATGAAACGAGTCAACCTCAAAGTGACAGTGGTCGACGAGTCAGGGCAAGATCATTGATCGATGATGAACAATTGGCTGTTCTGAAAGGATACTACGCCATTAATCCAAGGCCGAAGAAAGAGGAAATCATCATGATCGCTGATTACATCAAATTTCCCACTCGTGTTGTTCAGGTTCGCAGAAATACATTTTTATTGATTAATCAGGCCTCGGATATTTCTTCTACTTTTATCGACTACTTTCAACTTTTGAAGAATTTTAATTGCAAATTTTGAAAATAATTGAATTCTCAAAGATTATAATGATAAATCTTCAAGTTTAAATTTAAAAATAAAAATTAATGAAAATTAGCTTCTAAAAATTGTATTTCTAATATTTTTTTAGAAATAATCAACTATTCATTTTTGTATTTAAATAATTGAATTCTCGTACAACTTTTTGATAAGAATTGATTTGAAAAAGTATTTCAGTTAAAATTTTAGAAAATATTTCAAGTTCTAAATTTAATCAAATTTCAAAAGTAAATTTTACATCTAAGTATTTTAAAATTTTAATTCCTGGTAGAAAAATAAATAACAATAGGTGTTCAATATTTATTAAACAAAAATTAATGAAATTAGAAAAATTTTATTTTAGAAATTCTGTAAAATAATGAAGTAAATTTCTTTAGGTTTGGTTTCAAAATTCAAGAGCGAGAGATCGTCGGGAATCGAAAATTCCTGCCCTTCTTCCATTGGCGAATGCTGGCATTCAACCGATAAATGAACAACCGCTTGATCTCTCGAAAAAAGAACTGACAATTTCCGTGATAAAAGAAAGTGATACATCGAGTAGAAATACAGCGTCACCTTGTGGACCGAAGGAAGACATTGTACTGATGACACCGACATTGAATCCTGACACTGATCTTGAGGATTCGCCTCTTATTATCGATGAAGAGACGACCGATTCCGCTGAAGTTCGACGTACATTGCCCATTAATGAGACACTAACGAAGGTGATTACATTATGAAAACGTGATTTTTTCACCATATTCATCGTAAATCACATGTCGCAAACGTATTTTGATTTTTATATTATATATAAATATATTAATTATTAGTAATAAATGTTAACTATTATAAATATTGCATATATTAACTATTCGTTTTCTTTTTCTTTTTCTAGAGTCAAAATCAGACGGTCGTTAAAGCACAGGCTGAAGGGATTCTCGTTCAAGCAGATGTGACTCCAACGATCGAGACGGAGCAAGAAGGTCTTTATTTTTGTGATCAATGCGATAAAACATTCTCGAAGCAAAGTTCCCTAGCAAGACATAAGTACGAACATTCCGGTAAGTTGAGATTAATTCAATGAATTCATAAGAATATTATTTCATACGATATTATTGCACATATATTCGAAATATGTAACACTCTGAGAAAAAAGCCGGGACCTTTAGCAGGCTTTTGAGAATTTGCACAACTTAAAATTCGCTAAAAGTTGAAATAACAAAATTATTCTCAAAAATTTTGATAACATTCTTAGAAACGATTCAATTATTTTCAAAAAATTTTCGAAATCCAATAATTATCAATATCTACTATTTTAATAAAATTTTACAATAGAATTAAATTATTTTTCTAAATAATACAATTTTTACAGGAATTCAAATATTTAAAATGAAACTTTTATTAAATATTTTCCAAAAAAATCCATTATTTACAAGAATTTTAATAAAATTCGTCGTTGTTTAAAATACAACTTTTATTAAATTATCCATTATTTGCAAGAATTTTAATAAAATTCTTCGCAATAAAAAAATTGCGAAAAAATGTAATGCAATTCTTCAAAGAAATTCAATTATTTTCAAAAATTTTGATAAAATTCTTTATGAGAATTGAATTATTCGCAATCAAATTGTAAATATGTAAAATTGTCGATAAAAATTGTGAGAATTCAATTATTCTCATAAATAATAAAATTCTTCGCTGGAATTCAAATATTTTTAATATCATTTCAATCAAATTCTTCGTAGAAATTTAATTATTTTCAAAAATTTTCCTCAATTCAATGATTTTCAATATCTACTATACTTTAATAAAATTTTCCAAAAGAATTCAATTATTTAAAAAAATGTAATAAAATTCTTCGCAAACATTTAATTATTTTCATAACTAATAAAAAATTCACAGGAATTTAATCAATTAAAAAAGAATTAAATTACTTTCTAAAAATTTTTAAAAATTCTTGTCAAGATTTCAATTATCTTTATAAATATCAAAATTCTTCCTAGAAATTCAATTATTTTCAGGAATTTTAATAAAATTCTTTGCAAAATTCAATTATTTTTTAAAATAACAATATTCTTCATAGAAATTCAATTATTTTCAAAAGTAATGAAATTCTTAGAAATTCAATTATATACATTCAACAATTCTTTTTAAATTCTCGTCAAGATTTTAATTTTTTTTTTAAATATCAAAATTCTTCTCAGAAATTCAATAATTTTCAGAAATTTTAATAAAATACTTGGCAAAACTTCAATTACTTTCAAAATTTTTGTTTAAATTCTCATCAAAATTTCAATTATGTATTTCAATAATTATATAAAATTTTTTTTGCAAAATTCAATTATTTTCATAAATAAGATAACAATAATCATACTTTTAAAACTTTCTATTAAGAATTGATTAGATTTAAAAATGAATTTTAGTTATTAAAAATTTTAGATACTAATAATTGAATAATAGAAGTTTTATTGTTTGAATTTTTAGAAATAATTAAATTTCAAAAGATTTTTAAATTGAAATCTTTGAAAATTCTAGTTGCTATAAAACTAATAATATTTAAATTAAGAAAAAAATTATTATATTATTATTTTATTAAATGATTAAAGTTTTGAATTGTAATTTTTAGAAACTGTTAAATTTAAAAAAAAAAGATTTTACACGCTAACCATTTAAATTATTGTAATTCCTGTGGAAAAATAAGTAAAATATTTATTTAATAAAAATTATTCCATATTTTTGAATGTAATTTCATTTGGAAATTATGAAAAAAAATTCTTCTTTAAAAAAATTGTAATTAAAACGTTTTAAAGAATATTTTTACTACTTTTAGAAATTATTTTCAAATATAATAGTATTTTTGGAAAATTTGAAATTAAAATTTTAAAAAGTTATTGAATTTTGTAAAAAATTAGAATTGAAGTTATTAGCAGTGTAAGAAAGAACAGTAAATATTTTTGATGAAAATTAGAAACAAAATCAGGGAAATAAAATGCAGAATCAAATTTCTTTTCTGAATCATCTAAAATGAGTTTCTTAGTCGTCAAATTTGATTCGTCGATAAGTAATTTTTTTTACTTTTTTCGATCTTCAAGCTAGTTTTTGCTACTTTTAAAATTAATAATTATTATATAGTGCGAATTAATTATTAGAGTCGCTTTAGGGGAAACAAATTTTAGCAATACATACTAAGAATGAATTATATTTAATTCAACTAAATAATAAATAAGTATTTTGACAATGAATTAAGAGAAATTGAACTAAATTAATAATTGTTTTCTAGGACAAAGACCATACAAGTGCCAGGAGTGTCCGAAGGCGTTCAAGCACAAACATCATTTGACTGAGCACAAACGTCTGCACAGCGGCGAAAAGCCATTCCAGTGTTCCAAGTGCCTAAAGCGCTTTTCTCACTCTGGCTCCTACAGTCAACATATGAATCATCGGTACTCTTATTGCAAGCCATACAGAGAATAGGACCATCGAATTGCTCTCAAATGATGAGGCCCACCCACTTAGCTAAGTACATACCTCCCTTTCTCCCCTTTTTTTAGTCCTACTTGCGTGTTTACTGGCGAAGGAAAAATTAACTAAATTTTACAGAAGAAAAAAAGATAAATTTTTTCCCCAACCGGTCACGTAATCTCTTCAGGATTTAGCATTTAAGTTTGATTTCTATAAATATTCATTTTTTTTGCGTCTAACTTGCGCAAAATTCTCACACAGAGGACTATTTAAGACTGTACTGACAAAAGTACCTCTCTTTCGTCTGCAATTTTGAGGGAAAAGAAAAAATGGATTTGCAATTATTTTTTTCTACAAGAAAATTTTTTTCTTTTTAAATAGTTGAGCGAGACTTCTTCTTTATTATTATAGATATACACTTAAGAGTAATTCCCAAATTGATACCGAGTGAAAGGGATATTAAGAAAGAAAAAAGAAAACCAAATCGCAAATTCTCGAATTGCAATTTCTAAACCAAGGAGTTAATGAAAAATTAAATGACTAAAGAAAAAAAAGATAAAACCAAAGTTTAGTAAACAGGATTCTCTGCAAGATTATGTATATATAATATATACAAATTTAACCAAAAAAAAACAACACGTAACGGTACCAAAAATGCATAATGCAATAATCTATTATAAATATATATATATATAAAAAAATATGATATAATATACATAATATTTTATTATTTTTATTAACAAGATATTATATATATACCATGACAATAATAAGGAGAAACTAATTAATGTACAAATTTGTTAGTTACAATTTCGCTGGGGAGGGCGAAGCCATCCGAACGGGATGAACGACGTTATAACTAAAAAAAAATGGATATTGCACTTATGAATAGAGATTTTACCAAAATAAAATAAATAAACGATTAAAAAAGAGGAGATGAAACGTAACAATAATACGGAATAATGAGAAATTTATTATATTTCAAATTAACTGCGCCTGGGAATTAAAAGAAAACAAATTTTTACATTCTCATTTTTTATAATATTTATATACACAATAGACAATATTTAGAAATAGATTTATTAAAACTGAATACCTATATTTTCCATTGATGTGTATAAAAATTTAACAATGAAAAATAAGTATTTTTGTAATACACTTTTTTTTGAAAATAACGCATATATTTGATTAGTTGCTTCCTGTAATTTGACAGAGTTGCCACGCAATCTGGAAAACTGGAAAACCTGGAAATGTCAGAGAATTTTATAAACCTTGAAAAAAACCGGAAAAAATCTATGAATTTTGATCGGAGTCCTGCAAAATTGTTGTTTTCTAAAGTTATTATGTTTATTCTTCAAAACTAATACAAAACCGTCAAATTTTTCTATTTATGACAATAATTTCTTTTCAAATAACTAAAAAAATTCAATTTTGGAAAAACTATAAATGATTGCAAAAATTCAATTATGTTCGAAATTTTTAAAAATTCTCGTCAAAATTCAATTATTTTCAAAAGTAATAAAATTCTTCTCCGAAATTCAATTATTTTCAAAAATTTTAATAAAATTCTTGGCAACATTTCAATTATTTAAATAAAATTATAATAAAATTCTGCGGAAAAATTTAATTATTTTTATAAATAATAAAAATTTCACATAAATACAATTATTTATACAAATTTTTTTATAAATTTCTTCACAATGATTCCATTATTTTGATAAATAATAACACTCATTGTAGAATTTTATTCAATTCGTCGAAAGAATTCGATTATTTAAAAATTTGTTGATAAATTTCTTTATGATAATTCAATTTAAAGAAATATTTAATAAATTATTTATTTTTGCATCTGTTTAAATAATTGAATTCTCGTAGAATTTTCTAATAATAATTGATTTAAAAATGAATTTCAGTAAAAATTTTAGATTATTGAATATTAAAAGTATTGTAGCGTGAATTTATAGAAAAACTTGAATTTAGAAAAGGTTTCAAATTAGAATCTTTGAAAATTTGAATCTTTCAAACTTTTTATTAACAATTATGTAGACTTTTTTGTAGAAATTATTAAAAATAATTAATTTAATTGATGTTTTCAAATAATTTTACAATGAAAGTAATTCGTAAATAAAGGTAAAAAGGACAACATTTTTTTGAGTATCTAAATTTTTTTAGAGTGAATTAGAATATTCTTTAGAGTCAGGGAAAAAGTTTCAATTTTGTCTGAAAATCAGTAAAAACAAAATTTATTAGTTATTTAATTTGGTAAATAATAAATGTAGTTTTAAAAACCCGAAAAAATTCCGTTTTTTAACCTGAAAATCCTGGAAAAGTCAGGAAATTTCAAATGAGCAAAAGCGTGGCAACTCTGTTTGACTATTTGAATATTTCATTTATAGAAATATAAAAACAATGTTTCCGTGAGAAAGCAATATAAATATATTTTTTATTGCAAAAAACCTCGAGAACAATAAAAATGTAATGTGTGCGTGTATGTATGCGACAATTCTTTTTTTTGTATTTCACAAAACTAGTACAAAATGAGAATATAGAAATAATAAGCGACCATTTTTAGCAATATTTTTTACGAAAATTTATTTATTATGTATATAAGAACTTTTTTTTTATATATACTTTTAATTTTTGTTTTCTTTCTAAATTCAAGGCGCAGTTTGATTTGGTCAGAGAAAAGGCTTTTGGTAGCCTTGAGCCTATTTTTTTAGAATTCTAATAAAAAAAACTAAAAAAAAATCAAATATACACGCGGGTCAAAAGGTGTTTAATTAAAAAAAATGCATTTAATGTAGTAGTTTTATGACGAGAGAGCCTTTGAAGTTAGAATAACAGTTGAATCGTTCTTTTCGCTAATTTGCAAAATAAAAGGTACAAATTTTTTAATTTGTTTAAAAAAATTTAATTTTGAATTTGAAATTTAAAAGTTATTAAAGCAAATAATGATAGCACTTCAGCTTTTTTTAAATTCGAGATAACTTGAAAGGCTCTCAATTCTAATGGGAAAGAAAGACAAAATGAAAAAATAATGAATTGTTGTGTACCGAATTATAAAAACTGGCTGCGAAGAGAGCTTATTATAGAGAAAAAAAGAAAAATAAAAATTCTGCCCGTTTTGACAGAACAAAAATCTCGATTCTCGCCTCCTCACTTAAAAAAAAAGAAAACGAGTTTTATTCAGCTCAGCCCAAAGGACTATAATTGTTAGTGTTGAGGTTTCAGGGCCTTGTGGATCGGTGAAAATTATGCAAAAAAAAAACATCTTTCCATTACCTAATTTTATGTACTTATAATTACTAATACTAAAGCTAGAAAAAAAATGAAGTTAAAAAAATCTGGACCAATTTCTTCAAAAATCAAAGGCGAAAAATATTTGAAAAAGAAGAAAATTTCCCTGGAATTTTATATTTCACATTTATTTTTAATTATATTAATTTTCGTCCTGTGAAATCAAACAAAAAAATCAAAATCAAAGAAAGGTGAAATTATTAAGAATTAAAGAGCAAAAAACGGTTTTTTTAACGTGTGGAAAATTTTGTTTAAAATAAACAATTTGAATGGATTTTAAAAAATTTTAAATTAGTTTGCAGACTTTGCACTCGTTTACAAAAAGCTATTATTTACTACATTTTTTTCGACTTGCTACTATTTGGATACATTTTTTTAGATTTATGACACTAAAAGCTACCTTTTCCTTTTTTATTTTAAATTTACACTACTTTAAATTCTTGGCAGAAATTCAATTATTTTTAATAATTTAAATAAAATTATTCTCAGAAATTCAATTATTATTAAAAATTTTAATGACACTTTTCCCAAGAGTTCACTTTTTTAACATAAATAATAAAATTTTTGGCAGATATTCAATTATTATCAACAACTTTAATGAAATTTTGCGCATGAATTCAATTAGTTTCACAAATAATAAAATTCTTCACAGGAATTAAATTATTTAAAAAATATTGATAAAATCCATTGCAAGAATTAAATTATTTTCATAAATAATTTTATATTTTAATCGAATTCCTTGAAAAATGTAATTATTCAATTAATTTATTATTTTTGTATTTAAATAATTGAATTCTCGTAGAACTTTCTAACAAGATTTGAGTTAGAAATGAATTTCAGTTAAAATATTAAATTATAATTGAATAAATGTTTTGAAAAATTTTATTTAAAAATTTCAAAAAAATGATTGAATTTTGAAATAATTACAATTGTAATTTTTAAAAAGAATTAAATTTCAAGAAGGTTTTACATTGAAATTATTTAAAATATTAATTCCCGTGGAAAAATAAATATTTAAATATATATTTAAAAAAAAGTATTTAAGTTTTAAATGTAATTTAATTTAGAAAAAATGATAAAATTAGTCTTGGAAAAATGTAATTAAAATTTTTTGAAGTTAAATTCCTAAAAATAATTTAAAAAGATTAAATAAAATTTATAATTAATTGAAGATTTTGTCAAATTTAATTGAAATAAATTTTTTATTTTTTCACTTTTAAAAATTGTTTTTAAATGTAATAGTATTTTTGAAGAATTCTATTCTAAAAATTTGGAAAATAATTGAAATTTAGAAAAACTGAGAATTGCAGTTACTACCAGGATAAGAAAAAAAAGTAAATATTTTTTATAGAAAAATACTGAAAATACTGAATCAAATTTTTGTGAATCGACTGAAAGGATTTTTTTTAGTCGTCAAATTTAATTTTTTGATAGCTACTTTTCACTACTTTTACTAATTTGTCAGTCTTAAAGCTACTTTTTGCTAATTTTTAAAAAGTAATTGTCGAGTGCGAAGTCTGAGTTTGCAGAGTTTATTAGAAAAGAGGAAAACTTTTAACAGAAATCAAGAAATTTTAACTATTGACAAAAGGGAATTAAAAAGAAAACTTTTTTAATCAAATAATAATAATTATTAAATAATAATTAATAAATAATTATTAATTAAATGAGAAATAAAGAAAATGAAGAAAAAGAATTAATAAATAAAAAAATTAAAATATAAATAAAGATTGAATTAAAAATAAAATAGAAAAATAAAAATTTTGTAGGTATAATTTGAAGAAATCGGTCCTTTTTGAAATTGTAACGCACATTCCGTAAAAAGACCTTTCTCGAGGCGCTCTTTTTCTTAATTACTCATTTCATGTTTTTATAATAAATAATATAATATAATAATAATCATAACAACGTTCCATAATATACGCTATTGAGAAAAATGAGACAAAAAGAATGTTTAATAAATTGAAGAAAAAAAAAGAAATTCTCTCTATTCACCGAGATTCGAGGCCCAATTAGTATATGGATCTAAGTATGATATTAAAATGCTTCCAATACTGTACGATTATAAAATAATATTGATTACCTACAATATTTGTATATGATTTATTCGTTCGGAACGCCTAGGTAAGCAGTATACTCTACAGATGATAATACTCGAGAATGTATTTTATAAAGGTTTTTATTCGTCTTTTTATTTTACACGTACCACAAGTGATAAGTGATATTGTTATATTAAAAAAAATATATATATAAATGAAATGAAAAAAACCGTGAATTCAAAATCCAACGAAAAAAAAACCTCGGTACTTCACTTTTAAATTGACAAAGTAACAAGAAAACATCGAACTTACGAAAAAAAACGCTAACTTTAATCTTATATATAAATAAAATATAGTTATTCTATAAATAAATTTAAAAGTATAGATAGTAAAGCTTTTTTTTAACACTGTTAATTAAATAATAGTCTAGATTCGCTGCCAATTTGATGGAATAAAGAAAAAACACTCATTTTTAATTTTTTTCCCTTTTTGTCAGAATTATTAACAATTACTAATTACTGATTATAAATTGTTATAACTAATAATTGGTTAATTAAACAATGAAAAAACGAATACAAAATAATCTTCCAAATTTAAAAAAATGTTAAATTTAGAATGATTTGATTTTATACAAAGAAAACTAATTATTAGTTTTCAAAAAAAAAATAATTTTCTGAGGGAATATTAAATATTTGACAGAAATATAAAATATTAATACAGTTTTGTATAATTAATTGCAGATAAAAGAGTGTTTTTTTTATTATTTCAAATAACAAGAGAAATAGAAAGAAAAAATGGAAGTTAGTCAATTTCTGAAAAAAAATCAAACGAACAAAAATGAATCTTATAAAAAGTGCTCAAAGAGACAATTTAAAAATGATGAAGAGGTTAATTAAATAATTTTCGTGGATTCTGAATTTCATATAGTATAAAAATAAATAAAAAAAATATAAATATTTAATTAATTGCCTAAAGGCGTTTTTGCCCAAGAATAAAAAATAAAAAAATGCTGAATAAAATTGTACTTCCTCACGTAGAAGCTTCGGTTATCCGCGACAGGCATCGTGTCTACACTATATAATATATATTATAATATATACGAAAACAAGCAAATTTTGCTTAATAATACTCATTTATATTAGTGTTAACACTTAAGAAGTATATTTTTATATAATTATAATGTAATAATTATAAAAAATACTATAGAACTTAAAAAATGATCGCTCGTGCGGTTTTCCACAAAAGTCCTTTTTTTCTATATTTGAAAAACACAAACACAAAAAAAAAGAGTCGGGGGTTCTTTCGCATTTTTTTGTTGTCTTTTTAAATATATTTATATATTTAATTAATATGTTTATTTAATTTATTTTTCTCTGGATATTGAAATATTCCTTAAAATGCATTTATTCTCTTCCGACTTGATAAGTGGAGGCCGCACTTTCTATTGCACATAGAATGATTATTATTAACTATTGAATATTTTTATTTTATTATATTATTTTTTTCATTTTTTTTATTTTAATTTTTATTATTTTTATTATTAAATATTAATTATTATTATTATGAATTATTAATTATTAATACTATTGTTAATATTATTATTATTACTATTTTTATTATTTTTTACTCTTATTATTACTATTTTTATTATTTTTTTCTATTATTATTATTACTATTTTTATTATTATTTTTTACTATTATTATTATTATTATTATTATTATTATTATTATTATTTTTATTATTACTTTTTAACTATTATTATTATTGTCAGAGATTAATGACTAATAACGATGGATAATAATTAACAAGTAAAGATAATTAGAAAAAATAATTATCTTGACTATAAAATATAGAAAAAGCTTAGAGAAATAAAAAACTGAAGATTTAAATTTAAAAAAAAAGTAATTTTTAAAAAATTCCTTCAATATTTGAATATATAATGCAATAGCGATGCTGTTTCTGCTAATGTTGTTTCCACCGCTGATACTATTATTATATGTTAATAAAAAATAATGTATCCGTAAAATTCCTAACGAGAATGAGAAAATAAAAAAAAAATTGTTACAATTGTTAAAGCAACGATTTTTAAGCACCATACGATGCCTTCCGTGAACGACCGAGCTTGCCTAGTTGCCAAAATAATTCGACGAAGTGAGAGTTTATAAAAATAACGAAAGTTTACAGATCCGATCACTTCGATTTTTATTTCATTTCGTTATTCTTTTTTTTCCCATTTTCACAATATATTAATGACATTTTTAGCATTTCGATTTATTTATTTTTTTAATTACCATTTTTCAAAAATGAGAAAATAAACGAAAATAAGAGTCAATTAAACTGACATTTGTAAAAATTAAGAATTTTTATTCTTTTTTTTGCAGCAATATTTTTAATACTTGATTAAAACGGAATTTTTCTAATTTTTCTACTTTTCGTATTAGAATTCAATAAATAGAAAAATAAACAAATGAATTAGAAAAATCTTTTTATAACAGTTTTGCAATCGACAATTGTAAAAAAAATTGTTATATATGACAAAGACAATGTGAAGAAAATATTTAATTTTTATTGATTCGAAGTGATCGTGTTTTACACGTTAAAAAAAATAGTACACGCAGTAAAACTGGTGGTTATGCCATTGAGCTTTCCATGATTATATATATATATATATATAAATTATGAAAAAGAATAAATTTAAGAACCAGATTAAAATGTATATATATATATATTACCATTCGATACGACAGACAATAATGTACCGTTTCTTTTAGAGAATAGATTCGTAATTTAAAAAAAAACATAGTATACTTGTAGACATAAAAAGTATAAATTTACTAAATTGGTATATATATTATATATGAATATATTATATACATAAAAATACATTTGATTTACATAACAATGAAATGTAATGCAATACGTACTCAAGGGCGAAAGGAAATTTAAAAAAAAATTGATCTAAAAGATTTTGCTGAATAGTGTTAACAGTGACACTTTCGAAAAAAAATTCTTCGAATCGAATAAAAATTTAAAAACTAATAATTCAAATTATAAAAATTAAAAAACTTTTTAAAAAAATGATTAAATGAAAATATTAAGCGAAAACTTTCTCAATTAGTCCGTCTTTTTCAAAAGGATTTCCGGAAAATTTTTCTTTTCCAATTTTAGTTTAAAATTTTTTTTATTCTGAAAAAGTGGAACGAAGACACTATTCAGCAGTCTTTTAGAAAATGCGTTTACGACCATAAAGTGTCGTGTTTGTTACTGTGGAATAAGAAAAAAAATAAAAGAAAATATTGTATTGTGACGAAGTTCCATCCATAATAAATAAAGAAAAAAGAAAAGAAATATTATACAGTTAGGCCGACTTTTCCGCCAGTTCGTGCCTTTTTTTCTCTGCAGGAAAAGTGCAGTATTGGCATCCAATCTTAGCCGTATTATATACAATTTAATGCGATTTAAAAAAAATGCAGGATTTACAAATATATGTATATATATATATGCGAGAATAAAAGTAGATACATCTTTACGATAAGTCGAGAAAAGAAAATCTGAGAAATTTAAAACAAAAAAAAGACAATGTTTTAATTAAAAATTTTGAAAACTAAAGTTGAAAATCGATGTATTACGACAACATATATATATATATGTATATATTATAGATATATATGTATGTATAAACGATTATATTTTCCGAGATCGCTGCGGGCACTAACATTCTTTCGAACGTAATCTGTGAAGCAAACGACACAATAATAGAAGTTTAGAATTGTTGTTCTTCGTTTCACAATGTAATAAAGGCTATTTTACTTTGACGCTAATGTTGCATTTTATTTTCGAATTGTATATATGAACTGCTTATTTCAATTCATTATCTTGGGGGACAATTTTTCACTTTTGCTTTTTTCATACATTGTCTGAAAAGGGGAAAATTAAACTTAAAGACTCCTCATACCTATTCCATCTTTTGCTCTCTGTTCCTCATTATTAATTTACTAGCAAAAGAAACGCCCGGAACGTGATATTGAATTTATTATTATTATGCAAATTACAAAATTTCTTATTTTCAAATATGAATTTTTGAATAATTTTAGATTTTAACTTTAAAAAAATTCAATTATTATCTAATTTACTTAGTAAGAATTCAATTATTTTTATAAATAGTAAAATTTTTTGCAAAAATACAATTATTTTTAATCAAAATTTTAATAAAATTTCACGAACGAATACAATTAATTTTCTAAAATTTGAATAAATCCTTCAAAATAATTCAATTATTTTTTAAAATAGTAGAATCTGTGCAAAATTTTAAATATTTTCAAAAAAATGTTCACGAAAGAATTCAATTTTTTTCTTAATTTGTTATAAAATTGTTCAAAGGAATTTAATTATTTTCTAAAATTTTAATAAAATTCAATAGTAATTAAATGTTTAATTTCAATTATTAACAAACACGATTATTTTAAATACATGAAAGAAATTGTTCATAAAATTCTATTATTTTCAAAATTTTTAATTAAAATTATTAAAGAAACTCTGTTATTTAAAAAAAAATTCAAAGAAATTCTTCAAAATAATTTAATTAGAATATTCAAAAATTTTAACCGTATTCTTCGCGAGAATTCAATTATTAGCAAATTTTTGGATAAAATTCTTTACAACAATTCAATGATTTGCAATACATTAATTTTAAAATTGAAAATATTTTTTTAAAAAATAATTTTTTAAACTGAGAAAATAAAATTCTGTGAAACATAAAATTTATTTTAATGAAATTAGAACAAATTTCCTATTCTTTCAATTTTTAAAAATTGTTTTCGGAAAATTTTTCAAATTACAATTTTAATAAATCTTTCGAAACAATTCAATTATTTTCTTAAATAGTAAAATAGTAAAATTTGCAAAAATTCAATTATTTAAAAAAAAACTTTGCGAAAAAATCCAATTTTTTTCTTAATTCGTTATAAAATATTTCAAAAGAATTCAATTATTTTCTAAAATTTTAATAAATTCTTCGAAACAATTCAATTATATTTATAAATAGTAAAATACTTTGCAAAAATGTAATTATTTTTAAACAAATTCCACGAAAGAATTCAATTTTTTTTAATTCGTTATAAAATACCTATTTCAAAAAGAATTCAATAATTTAATAAAATTGTCAAATTGGCATGTCAAAAGTTTGATAATTTATTTGTAAAAAGAGTGATTAGTGTTTTAGTGAAATTAATTCTCCTAGAATTTTCCAATAACATAATTTTCACAAGACAGTAAAAAAAGGAAATTTTATCAAAAAAATAAAATTATTGAAAATCTTAATAAGTCTATGAATTCTATTTCTCAAATTAAAAAAAAATTCATAATTTGTAATTTTTAGAAATAATCAATTATTTTTGGATTTATATACGATATTTACGATAAAATTTTAGAAAATATTTCAAGAATTGGAGTTCTAATTTTAATAAAATTTCAAAAGGTTTTACATTAAAAGTAAATAAGAATATGTATATTCAAATATTTATTAAACAAAAAATTCAGTTAAAATATTAGATTATAATTGAATATTAACTGCGTTATAGTGTAAATTTTTAGAAACAGTTAAATCTAAAAAATTATTACAAATTTCCATTCCTCTGGAAAAATAAATATTCATATATTTATTGAACAAAAATTGTTCAAATATGAATAATTTAGTTTAAAAATTATGAAAAGAAATTAGTCTTTTGGAAGATTTTAATTTAAATTTTTTGTGATTTTTCTGAATCGACTAAAACGAGATTTTTAGTTAAATTTAATTTTTCGATAGATATTTAATAGAAATTCGATAGAAATTTAATTTTCAATAGATAAAAACTTATTGAAAATTGATCGCGAAGCCTGTTATTTAAAAAAAATTAATATATTATTTCCCTTTTAAAATTATTAAAGTTATGTTTGAAAGTAATTTACAAACAAAAAAACTTTCTGCCAACTTCTCTTGGAAATAGTTCCGACTATTTACCCTCTGCGACTGCACAAACTTTTGAACTGACTTCAATAATATTTCAATGACTTAATTCAGATTTTAGACGTTTATGCATCGATTTTAAAAAGCCATTGTTATTTCAATTAGGAGAAAAACCTGAAGAAAAATCAATTCATAAAGAAAATATGATATATTTTCGGTTAAGAAAAATTGAGATAATGTTACCAATTGGCTAGTAACATTACATGACTTTATTGAATTTGTAAATTAAATTTACAATAATTCAACGACCAATTCTGTTCCCGGATAATTTGGAAGATTCAAATTAAACGCAATTTCCAATTTACGTGGCACAAATCTTCCTCCAAGAAAATGATATTTTCCATGAAAATAATTAGCGCAAAGTTTCGGTGCCGTTAAAGAAATGAGCATTTCCGGATTAATTCCACCATCAGACGGTGGACCATTCTCGACATTCCAGCCGGAAGGTATATCAACACTGCATATTGGTGTAGGGGAATTTTGCAAAATTTCAATTATTGGAATAAATTCTTCTCTAACTGGTGGTTTAAAACTGAATCCAAATAAAGCATCAATTATCGTTCGATATTCCGGTATTTTCTTAAAATTCTCCACACTATCGTGAATTGTTATGTCATTTTCCAAGCATTGATGCAAAAGATTTTCATAAAGATTACTCTTTGTTCTCTTTGGATAATAAACTTCAGGATTGTAACCAAAAAGTTTTAAATGCCTTGCACACACCTAGAAATTTTCAAAACAAATTATATTTTTAAAAATTTATTTATGTTTCTAATTAGATTCAGAGATTTAATTTAATTAGTTAAAATTTGATTACCAAACCATCACCGCCGTTATTTCCTGGTCCACAACAAACTAGAATATTTTTTGATAAATTCTCCGTTAGTGGATAACATTTCGCGACGGCAATCGCACAGCTTAAACCTGCGATTTCCATTAATTGATCGACGCTAAATTTATATTTGTCAAATAGTTCCTTATCAACATTAATTGCCTCTGTTTGATTTAGATATTTAACCATTTTTATATTCGTCGTTTTCTTGGCTGTAGTGTAAAAGGGAGAATTTATTGTTAAAGTTGTTTTCGGCAAGAAATTCAATTTTTCACTTATTCCTGTTTTCGAAATGTTTGAAATTATTTTGAATGATTTCATAGCAAATGCACTGGTTTGATAATCATTGTACAAAATTTTAATAATTGCTTTTTAATTTTAAATAAAGAAAAATACATGCGATTTTTGCAAAAAATATACAATAAATACCGGTGGAACATAACCTGAAAATGTAACCTAACCTGAGTGATTTTACCTTAGTCAGCAGTTAAAATTAATACCACGAACTACGAAATATCTAATAAATTTCTACTCGAATCATTAACTAGTTGTTATGCGGTGAAAAATAAAAAAAACTGAAGTAATTTCAAATTCAAGTCAACAGCTGAATAAAATAAACAGATCATGTTTTAACATAAACATAAGCTATAGGTGTGTTTTCAAAATGGAGATTTCTGATTGGTTCAGAGATGGCGGACAAGTTACTGGATTGTAAACTCGCCTTGAATTTACTTTAGTTTGTCCAGTACCTATGTATTATGTTTTTGTCTGTTCTCCTCTATATACAAACACGTGTGGAAATTTATACTATTTATACGATTAAAAAGTTTATAATGAATTCAAATAAAAAAGTGGAGTATTTAATAACCGATACAAGTGCATTTATAAAAAATGCAGCCCTACACGTAAGTTTCATAAACAAAATTTCCTCTTCACTAATAATTAATAAACTAAACTTAAACTTTTAGTCTCATAATTTTCATTATGTCAAAGTTCTTGTCGAATTACAATTCAACATGAATATTACGAATTATCATTAGTGTCTATTAGTTTTAAATTGTATGACAGTTATTATAAAGAATACTTCAAACGTTAATTAATCGCACATTAATCATATAATGAATTTAAAGGTTATGTTGATATGAAAAAAAAATCATTTTCTTTTAGTTATTTTAACTCACATTTAAGGAATTTAACTTAAGTTAATTAAAATTATTAAGTAATTAAGTTATCAACAGGAAATAGGTAATAATATAATTACCGAACCATCGGTTGTGAATGAAATCACAAGCAAACGACAGTTGAGAAGGTTGGTCGCTCTACCTTATGATTTGAAGGTTCAGGAAGTCTTTCCAGAACACATTAAATTTGGTACGCATATAATTTAATCAAATTGATTATAAAACTATTCAAAATACCAGGCTTCACACTCATCTACTAAAACCTACTATTTACTACTTTATTAATTTACAATTTGCTACTATTTGGATACTTTTTTAGATTTGTGACACCTACTTTGTTCTTTTTTTTAGAATTTGCACAATTTTAAATTCGCTAACAATCGAAATAAAAATCGAAATAAAAAAATTATTCTCAAGAATTTTAATTAAATTCTTAGTAACGATTCAATTATTTTCAAAAAATTTTCGAAATTAAATAAAATTTTCTAATAGATGGAATTCAATTATTTTCATAAATAAAAAAATTTATTTAAAAATTTAATAAATAAAAGAATTCATTTGTTTAAAAAAAATTTTGATAAAATTCTACGCAAAACATTCAATTATTTTAATAAATAATAAAAAGAAGAACAAAAAATTCAATTTTTTATAATAGAATTTCACTTAATTTCAATTATTTAAAAAATTGAACCGCCGGATCGTAGAAGGACAACCCATTTGAATTACATTGGCTACCTATATGCCCTTCTACGATCCGGCGGTTCAATTGTAATAAAATTTTTCACAAGAATTCAATTATTTTTATATTAAATTCTTCTCAGGGAATCAATTATTTTCATAAATAATAAAACTCATAGCAGAGATTCAATTATTTTCAAAAATTTTAATAAAATTCTTGGAAACGATTCAATTATTTTCAAAACATTATCGAAATTCAATTATTTTCAATATTTACTATTTTAATAAAAATTTTACAGTAATTTAATTATTTAAAATACAGTTTTGATTACATTTTATAGAAAAAAATCAATTATTTAAAAGAATTTTAATAAAATTTTTTACGGGAATTCAATTATTTATAAAAATTTTAATGCAATTAGAATTAAAGTTATTGTCAGTATAAGAAAAAACGTAAATACTTTTGTTGAAAACTAGAAAAAAATTAGGGAAATAAAATGCAGTATAAAATTTTTTATGATTTTTCTGAATCATCTACAACGAGTTTTTTTTTAGTCGTCAAATTTTATTCTTCGTTAGCTACTTTTTTACTACTATTTTCAGTTTTAAAGCTACTTTTTTAAAATTAATTATCGAGTGCGAAGCCTGAAATACTGAAAATTGATTCTAGATTGAAGCTACTGTTATCCTTTTGTCAAAATAATAATGCCTGTAAATTGTCTTATAAGGACACATTTTCATTAAAAAACATTGAAATCCTAATTTATGTAATTAATTTGATTTAATATTAATTTAGTGACGGAATTCGCCAAGAAAACGGGAGATTATCCGAGTCTTTCGGCCACTGATATTAAAGTCATAGCATTGACTTATCAACTCGAGAAGGAGAAAGTTGGAATTCAACATTTAAAAACAGCTCCGGAAATTGTTCGAACACTCAACGATCCCGAAGCACTACAACAAATTCATCCCAAATGTCTCGCTGGTTTCTATCTTCCGGAAAATGTAATTTTTTAATTATAAATCTAATCTTTATTTTCTTATTAATTTACTTTTATTTGACAATTTAATTTGAGTAATTAATATTTGCAGGCTTCGGATATTAAGACTTTTTTCGACAATTTTCAAAAAATGCAACTTTTTTCGACTTATTTTCAAAAGTTACTACTTTTTCGACTTGTTTTTCAAATACTGCAACAAAATACTATATTTTTAGTATGAAATGCAACTTATTTCGATTTTTATAGTGTCAAAAATAATTATTGAGAGACATTCCAAGTGAAATGATCCAATCAAAAAAATTAGATTTTAAAGGACATTGTTTTATTCAAATTGACATAACTTCTAGAAAAATTAGTCGATTTTAATTTTTAAATAGTGAATTTTCAAGCATCTTTTGCTTACTTTTCAATTCCAAAATTCTTTTTTCAAAAAAAAATTTTGTTTGTTGATAATCATTTCTAAGGCGATCATAAACAAATCTAAACTTTTGTAATTGAAAAAAAAATTTTTTTGTACGGTTTTTGGAAGCTTTTGTAAGTGGCCGATTACTGTCGGATTCTTACTTGTTTATTTACTAATTTTTTTAACGAATAACAAATTTTTTTTGTAAACATGATTGGTATACTAGTTTTGTGGGAACATTAGGAACAATTACACATGGAACAAATTTTAAAGAAATTTTAATTGTAATTTTTAAACAGTATTCATTAAAAAGATTTTCTTAAGTGGCCGACTACTGTCTGGTTTACCCTATTTTCGAAAAAAGAGGGGTTTTCAATTTTTTTTTGAAAACAGAATTTTTGAATTGAAAAATACATAAAATATGCTTTAAGGAGGAATGGTATAGAAATTCAAAACAATCAGAATCTTTTGATATTTTGGGAAATGATTTGCTTTTATATAATAAAATGACCCACCAAATTTCAAATTTTTTCACTAAATAGTTTACAAGTTAAAAATTATTTAATTTAACATTACCTCTTATGGAGAAAGTACGAATTTGCATGTTTATCATTAAAAATTTAATACTTAAAACATTCAGATTTTTTTGCAAAAATTGTATCTTGAAGGTCAAGATTTAAGCTTTATTAATCACGAAGGTTCTTTTTTATTCACTAATTAGTTTTAAAGTAATTAATTAGTTTCTGGAAGAAAAATAATTTTATGACAGACAAACAGAGAAAACGTGGCAACACTGCATATAAAAACTCACATGTGACAGCTGTTTAGTGGTACTTAGAACCAAGAGATGGCGCCAAAGGTACCAAAAATGACAAATTTTCATTATTTTTAACCACACAAATGCAAATCATAACACTTGACACTGTTACCAACGATCAAAAAACAAACTACTTGCATTGCGAGGTTGTCACGATTAAACGCTCATTATAAATTGTTATTTGACAATGTTTATAATTAATAACATTAATATTACAGCATAATAAGACACATATATACGTAATAATAGCATTTTTTCAAAGTTTGCAATGGAATACTCGATAAATCCGAAAATAATTTTTAAAGAATTTCAGTAACTTTTATTTTTTTAGGTTTTAAATTCGTACAGACAGTAACAAAAATTATTTTCTGCTTTTATGAAAAAAATTAATTTGATTAATTTATTATCTTTTCCTTATTTAATATATACTTTTTAATATTCATTAATGTCTACTTTTATGATTTCAATAAGAAAAACTGCTATATGTAGCTTAAATAACAAAATTACAAATTCCCCTAAATGTCACAAACTTTTGGCCCGATTAGGTATACCATTCCTCCTTAAAATTCACCACAAAAAATTAAAGTTTGACAAGTTCTGTCGAAATTATACTAATTTGAAATGGGGCCATTCAAGTATTACGTAAGCATATTTTTCAGGTTTTTAGACCCCCCCCCCCCTTCCCCCATCGTAAGATTTTTTATATGCATTTGCGCCATTTTTTCTAATTTTTTCTAGCCATTTTTTTTTTTTTTTTTTTTTTTTTTTTTCTTCTAGCCATTTTTTCTAATTTTTTCTAGCCATTTTTTTTTTTTTTTTTTTTTTTTTCTAGCCATTTTTTCTAATTTTTTCTAGCAACAGCTAGACCCCCCCCCCTCCCCCTTAAATGCTTACGTAATACTTGAATGGTCCCAATTAACAGTTTCTCTGAAAAAAGGCATGACTGCAATCCCTATAATTTGCAAAATTTTTTATTTTTTTTTATTTATTTGTGTATACACCCGTCTTAAGCCTACAATCTTGGCTATACAAGTGTTTTTACAACCGTAGAACATTCCTTACAAACATTTCTTAATACTAAATTTTTGCGCCTACAGAGCGACTTGAAAATTAGGAGTACTCGCATTTGCCTGGACCACCCGTCTAATGGGTTTTCTCGCCAGTGGAGAGGGAAACTGTAGAAAACCTCTCCGAGTACAACCGGTTTATCGACAGTCGAATTCTAATGGTGTGTACCGGACAATAATCGACGGATAATTTGCACAATTAATTTTTATAAAAGTTAATATTTTAGGATTTTATTACTTTTATACAGAACAACAATTTACCAAAGTTTAAAGCCATTCCCAGAAAATTAAAATTTTTACTTGATGGCTCTTGACAAATCTTTCAAAAATTATTTTTGAATAATTTTTCTAAATAGATTTTCGAAATATACCTACAATTAAATTTTTTTTTAATAATTGTAATTTTTATAAAACTTAATTGAAAATAATTGATTTTTTTCAAGTATTTTAATAAAATTTTTGAAAATCAACTTTTGAAGAATTTTAATTGCAAATTTTGAAAATAATTGAATTTTCAAAAAATTTAATATGAAAAATCTTCAAGTGCAAATTTAAAAATAAAAATTAATGAAAATTAGCATATAAAAATTCTATCAAAATAGTTTTGAAAAAAGTAATTCTTACAATTTACAATTTTTTCATTTTAATTTTTTAATGAATTTTTTTTTAATTAAAATTCTTCAAAAAATGAATTAGTTTGTTTTTAAATTATACGAAACTTAAATAAGTCAACTTAAATAATAACATAAATTCAATTATTATTTTCCAAAATTTCCATTAGAATATTTTTAAAAAACTAATTCTTAGAAATGTTTTATCATAATTTTTTAAGATTCAATTATTTTCGAACAAAAAGTAAATTAAAATTTAAAAAATTTACTTTTTTAGACTTATTAAAATTTTGGAAAAAAAATCATGTTCATATTTATAATTAAAATTCTTCAAAAATTCAATTATTTTAAAAATTATTTTATCCAACTTCAATAGAGCTGTGCAAAATAATTATTCGAACCGAACTGTTCGAATTTTTTCGCCTAGTTCGAATGTCGAAAATTCGACATTCGAGTTACTACGAAATTCGAACCGAACCGAGTTGTGTTCGGTTTTAGTACGCTAAAATGTCGAATTCTAAAATTCGACATTTCAGTCGCCCAGTTCGAATGTTGAATATTCGACATTCAAACTAGCCCAGTTCGGATGTCGAATATTCGACATTCGACATTTCGGCGCCCTAAAACTGAACAAAACTCGGTTCGGTTCTTTTGTACAGCTCTAAATTTCAATTGTTTGGTTTTTGAATTGTCTATAATTGAAGAAAAACAATTATCTTTAAAAAATTTTTTAAAAATGTTTTTAATTAAATTTAATTTTAAAATTAAAGTTATTTTAAGAATTTCTTTATTATAATTTTTTGAAACTTTTACAGTTACAGTTACAATTACACAGTGCAACACATAAAATGTGCACTAAGTTTTGACTTCAGTTTCTGAAAGTACTTATCGAAACTAGCAAAAACCTATTTCAGTTTTGCTAGATTAGCTCGGATTTAAATTTTATCGACATTTGAAGAGCAGTAATTCCTCCCTAGTTTCTGTCATTGAAAAAAAAATTTGGTCAAAAATTGTTCGAGTTATGAATTTTTTTCGTACTTTTTCAAATTTTTTTTGTTTTTGATCTGGGCGGGTGAGAACGCTGGTTATTAAATTTTTCTTTTTTAAAAACGCAATGGTCACATTTTGCAGAGCAATAATTCTTCTTTAATTTCTGTCAAAGAAAAAAATTTTGGTCAAAAATTGTTCTAATTATGTTTTTTTTTACTTTTTCACATTTTTCGTTTTTTGATACGGGCTGGTGGGAACGCTGGCTATTAAAAATGAATTAAAAAAATTCACAACAGTCAAATTTTAAAATGCAATAATCCTTCTTTAATTTCTGATAAAAGAAAAAAAATTGGTAGAAAATTATTCGTGTTATTTATATTTATTTCTGTACATTTGTATACCCGCGGTCCTGTGCAACCGAGGGTTTTGATTTTTTTTAATTTTTTCGAAACCAAATATTTCGAATCAAATTTTTTATCTTGGGCAGAAATTAAATAGGGATTATTGCTCTTTAAATTGTGCCCATTACGAATTCTTTTTATAAATTTTTAATATTCAGTATTCCCACTTCCGTTATCAGAAAACCGAAAATTAAAAAAAAGTAAAAAAAATTAATAACTTGAACAATTTTTGACCAAATTTTTTTTCTTGGGCAGAAATTAAAGACGGATTAATGCTCTTTAAATTGTGATCATTCGAAATTTTTTTATAAATTTTTAATAGCCTGCGTTCCCACCCGCCTGATCAAAAAATTGAAAAATGTGAAAAAGTCAAAAAAAAATTAATAAGTGGAACAATTTTTGACCAAATTTTGTTTTCTTTGTCAGAAATTAAAGAGGAAGTATTGCTCTCCAAAATGTGACAATTGCGTTTTTAAAAAAGAAAAATTTAATAACCAGCGTTCTCACCCGCCCGGATCAAAAACAAAAAAAACTTGCAAAAGTACGAAAAAAATTCATAACTCGAACAATTTTCGACCAAATTTTTTTTTCAATGTCAGAAATTAGGTTGGAATTACTGCTCTTCAAATGGTGACCATTGCGAATTTTTTTTATAAACTTCTAATAGCCAGTGTTTCCACCCGCTTTATCAAAAAACCGAAAAATGTGAAAAAGTCAAAAGAAAATTCATAACTCGAACAATTTTTGACCAAATTTTTTTTTTTATCAGAATTTAAAGAGCGATTATTGCTTTTCAAATTATGACAATTGGGAATTTTGTGTAATAAACTTTTAATAGATAGCGTTCCCACCCTCTCGTATTAGAAAAACCGAAAAATTTGAAAAATTACAAAAAAAAATTGATAACTCAAATAATTTTCGACCAAATTTTTTTTTTTTATCAGAATTTAAAGAGCGATTATTGCTTTTCAAATTATGACAATTGGGAATTTTGTGTAATAAACTTTTAATAGATAGCGTTCCCACCCTCTCGTATTAGAAAAACCGAAAAATTTGAAAAATTACAAAAAAAAATTGATAACTCAAATAATTTTCGACCAAATTTTTTTTTAATGTCAGAAATTAAAGAGGAATTATTGCTCTTCAAATGGTGACCACTGCGAAATTTTTTTTAATAATCTTTTAATAGCCAGCTTTCTCACCCGCCCTTTTCATAAAACCAAAAAATGTAAAAAAGCCAAAAAAAAATTCGTAACTGGAACAATTTTCGACCAAATTTTTTTTCTTTCTCTGTAATTAAAGAGGGATTATTGCTTTTCAAATTGTGACCATTGCGAATTTTTTTTAATAAACTTTTAATAGCCAGTGTTCCCAATCGCCCGTATCGCAGAAAACTGAAAAATGTGAAAATTCAAAAAAAATTCAAATGTCGATAAAATTCAAATCCGAGCTAATCTAGCAAAACTGAAATAGGTTGTTGCTAGTTTTGATAAGTACTTTCAGAAACTGAAGTCAAAACTTAGTGCACATTCGATGACCTCAAAAATGTTGTACTGTGTTATTATAAAAAATAGAATTTTTGTATTTATGTAATTAAATTCTCGAAGAACTTTCGGAAAATTATTAAATTTAATGATTGATTTAGAGATGAAATTTAGTTAAAAATTGTAGAAAATAATTAAATTTTTGAAGAATTATAATTGTAATTTTTAGAAATTGTAAATTTCAGAAGCTTTTAAATTGAAATCTTTATGATTTTATTTCCCTTGGAAAAACAAATACGAAATATTTAAATATTTATTCAACAAAATTATTTAAGTTTTGAATAATTGAATTTAAAAATCAGTGAAAGGTCAGAAAAACACAAAATAAAATTTTTGTGATAACACTGAATTAAATAAACGATTTTTTCGACATTTTTTGTATTTTTAATCGACTGAAATGACTTCTTTTACGTCTTAAAGTCGATTCGAGGCCTGTATTTGTGTAATAATAATTCAAGTGTACTATTTAAAAACTAATTTATATTCAAGGAGGAAGATGAAGAAGAAGAAGAAAGGGTTGACACCAAAGCGGAAAAAGTGGAGAGATTATTTCAAAAACTAAAGGAGACTGGAAAATTGGAAAAGGAGGATATTGAAGATACAAATTCAAAAGATGTGAAGAATTCATCTGATAAATGTACCGATAGTTCATCAGAATCAAATTACGATACGGCAACGTCCGATATTGAAGTTCCAATTGATTTGGTAGATAAATTTGGAAAGTTGGACTGCAAGGAAACGGACTTAATGGTTGATAATAATTACGACTTGAATGATATTCTTCGTCCTGTTAAAAATTGTAATGACGGCAGTTTGTGCAGTGATTCTGGAAATGATGCCGAGGAAGAGGACAGTGATGAGGATGATGATGATGATGATGACGGATGGATAACTCCCGGTAAGTTTCCCTTATTAATGTAGGCTTCGCACTCATCTACTAAAGCCTACTATTTACTACTTTTTTACGATTTGTTACTATTTGGATACTTTTTTTTAGATTTCAGCCACTAAAACCTACTATTTCTGTTTTTTAGAATTTCTACTTTAAATTCACTAATACTAGAAATCAAAAAATTATTTTTAAAAATTTTAATCAAATTCTTTAAAATGATTCAATTAATTTCCAAAATATTCGAAATTGAATTATTTTCAATAAATAGTATTTTCATAAAATTTTGCAAAAGAATTCAATTATTTAAAAAAAAAATTGATAAAATTCATTCAAAATTTAATTATTTCCATTAATAATAAAATTTTCACAGACATCAATTAATTTAGAATAGTAATTTTTAAAATTTTTTGAAAAAATCAATTATTTAACAAAACTTTTATTCAATTCTTCACTATAATTCAATTACTTTCACTAATAATAACATTTTTCATGAAAATTCAATTTTTTAAAAAAATTTTTGATAAAATTAAATTATTTTCACAAATAAAGTTTTCCACAAGAATTCAATTAATTATTAATAAATTTTCCACAATATTTATTACAATGTAAAATAAAATTCTTCTCGGGAATTCAATTATTTTGAAAATTTTAATAAAATTCTTTGCAACTATACAATTATCTTCATAAATAATATAATTCATCGCAGAATTTCAATTATTTTTAATACAATTTTACAGGAATTGAGCGGATGGGAAGAAGAACTCGCCAAGCGCGAGACCGTAAAGGATAGTTCCAGTCAGGTAGCAGTGTGGCCCACAGGCGCTCACTGCTACCTGACTAATATTATCCCTTACGGTCTCGCGCTCGGCGAGTTCTTCTTCCCATCCGCTCAATTAATAAAAAAATGTAATTATTCTTAAAAATTTAATTTCAATTCCTCTAAAAAATCAATTATTTAAAAATATGTTTTTTTAAAATTCTTTGGAAGAAATTAATTATTTACAAAAATATTAAAATAATTTTTCACAGGAATTCAATTATTTTCAAATATTTTAAGAAAATTGTTCGAAAGAAATCAATTATTTTAAATACAATTTTAATTAAATTTTTTTGAAATAGGTAATTCAATTATTCTTTTAGTTTTTTGTACAATTCTTCCCAAGAATTCAATTATTTACATAAATAATTCTTTGAAAGAATTAAATTATGTTGATAAATATAACAAAATTATTCTCGAAAATTCAATTATTTTGAGGCGTTTTAATAAAATTCTTTTCAAAATTCTATTATTTTTATAACTAACAATATTCATCACAAGAATTCAAGTACCTACTTTTTAAAAGTAATAAATTTTTTCTTGGAAATTCAATTATTTTCATAAATATAATAAAATGTTTTTTAGGAATTCAATTGTTTTTAAAAAAATTTAATAAAATACCACACAGACATTCAATTATTAACAAAAATTTAAATTGAATTCTTTGTAAAATTTAATTATTTTTAAAAACTTTTCACAATTAAATGATTTTCAATATATCCTACTATTTTTATAAGTTTTCCAAACAGAATTCAATTATTTAAAAAAAATTTTGTAAAAACTTGGTAAGAATTCTATTCTTTTCATGAATATTAAGAATTTCTCAGAAGTTCAACTATTTAAATTAGAATTTGCACAAAATTAGTCGAAAGAAATCAATTATTTAAAAATTTTGATAAAATTCTTCGCAAGAATTAAATTATTTTTATAATTATTTAAATCCTTTCATGAATAATAAAATTCGTTGCAGGAATTCAATTTATTAACAGGATAAGAAAGAAGTAAATATTTTTGATGAAAATTAGGAAAAAGTGAGGAAAATAAAATGTAGAATGGAATTTTTGTCAGTTTTGTGAAATTTCTTAAACGAGTTTTTTTGGTCGTCAAGTTTAATTTTTCGAAAGCTACTTTTTACTACTTTTTTTTTAGTTTGAATGTTACTTTTTGCTACTTTTTTTAAATTAATTATCGAGTGCGAAGTCTGTTGATGATTTTTAGTTACTAAGTTGAAGTTCACAACGTTGATCAACGAAAAAAAATTGTTCATTAAGTAAATTAATTATAAATAACGTAGCAATATTGCCACAAAAATATTTAGAAAAAAAATTGGTGTTTGTTTTGATGATAATTGTTTTACAATTAAATATTAAATTATAAATAATATTTGAATGTATTAAATAAATATTTTTCGTTGATCAACGTTGTGGACTTAAACTTCATTTTTAGTTTCTTTAGCCTTTCTTTGAAGCGCGTCTCATTTAATTTTATTAACTATTAGAAACAATTATTTTAGGAAATATCGGAGTCATAAAAAAGCAAATGGAATCAGATGTAATTGATGAAAAACCGGCAGTCGTAGCGTGTCTCACTATGGACTTTGCGATGCAAAATGTCTTGATGCAAATTGGACTAAATATTGCCTCTCTCGACGGAAAAGTGATAAAACAGATGCGAACTTTTATACTCAGATGTTATGCGTGTTTCCGAACAACGGGAATAATGACAAAAGTCTTTTGTCCCCATTGTGGTAATAAGACGCTGAAGAAAGTTTCGATTTCCATCGACGAAAATGGAAAACAACATATGCACATTAATTTTCGAAGGCCTCTTTCATCAAAAGGGAAAAAGGTATGCGTGTATATTTTCTTTCTTTCAAACAGTTGTAATTATTTTTCTCCGATCATTTAAGTAATTTGAAATTTTCATTCTCTCAATTTGATTTTTTGTTTCTCAGTTTTCATTGCCAACACCTCATGGTGGAAAACACGCGAATAATCCGATTTTATGTGAGGATCAACCTTTACCAGATCAACGACCATCGAGATTGGCACGAATGAAAAATGATCCCTTAAAGGACGATTATATCGCGGGATATTCGCCATTTGTAACACGCGATGTTAATTCAAAATCTGCGATGTTGGGAATTCGGAGCGGAAGGGGTGAATTCAAGCATTGGATGAAAAGAAATCCCAATGAATGTAGAAGGAGGCGAAAATGATCATAGATGAAGAATTTTTTTAAATAATAAATTTCAATAATTGTAAGTGTTTCTATAATTATCTCAGCTAATTTTATGAATGAACCGCTAGATCGTGGAAGGACATATATAGGCCCTTTTGAATTACATTGACATATGCCCTTCTGCGATTCGTCGGTTCATAATATTCAGAAAATATATATAGTAAGTTAATAAAATTTTATACTGTAACAATAAGTTGTATAGTATTTGGGAAAATCTCACAGAATCGGGTCAAATTAGGTACTAGGACAACAAAACAGTTCTATTGTTACGAAAGAAATTCCTTTCTGTCAAATCATATTTCTATAAACTTGGTAATACTATTTATTATTAAGTTGGGAAAATTATTAAGAAATTGGTTTATCAGAATCAAAGGATTAAATAACAAATTTATTCCCTGAAAATGCTGAAATCGAGATATTTAAGGTGTAAAACGCAAAAAAATCTATTCTTTACAGGGTTTACACGCAACCTGTAAAACATGGAAATATCAGAGAATTTTATAAAACCTGGAAAAGTCAGGGAATTTTGATCGAAATTCTGCAAAATTGTTGTTTTCTAAAGTTATTGTGTTTATTCTTGAAATCTAATTTTACTTAAATATTTAAAAATTAATTCAATTTTAAAAGAGTTGAGTTTACAATTTTATCATAAATAGATGAATTTTAAAAGGATTTAGTTTGAAATTTTAGAAAATTTCAATTTTCAATGAATTTAATTATAATCTTAAAGAACGTAGATTTTTGAAAATTCTTGATAATTCAAATTCTTCTGAAATTAATGTTGATAATAATATTTATGATCTTGAATAAAATTATTCAAATCTCTTCTGAACCTCTTCTGAAATTAGTTAAATTTTTTAATATATATTTCGACTCCCCGTTGATAAAATGTCTACCTATTGGAAAACCAGTGGAATAAAATGAAGCCGAACGCAAATTGACGGATTGATATTGATAATGGATCTAACTCATTTTTTTGATCAAATTTTAACAGTATAAAAAAATAGTCTCTATTACATATCCTTTTTCAAATTCTGCAAATAAAAATTGTATAATTGTAATATAATAATACCCAAAATTATATGCTTCCGGCCAATACACGGCATCCCTAATGAGAGATAAGCTATTCGTTCTCGCCTTCAAATGAGCAATTCTTGCTCTTTATTCTTTTTTCTCTTTGAAGTCTATATTTCTTTGTTTTAAACACCAGAAGTCTAGTTGCTATAAACAACTTTGTTCATAGAGTTGAGTTTTCTCGCCAAATTGACATGAAATATTTTACGATCAAAATATTTTTTCTGAATTTCAAAAAATTCTATAATATTTTTTCTTATTAAATGTGTTCAATGTGTAACAACTAATAAGTGATATTAAAAAAAAGGAAAGAAAATGTCTAACCGTTCATAAACACACGATTCTTCAGACGACGAGAAGAGATCTGATTCTTTTTCACCTGATGGAGGACATGACAAAATTTGTGATTATAGTGATAGTGAAGATAACGAACTTCTTCCTCCCAATTCTAAAAAATTTCGATCAAATCATTATGATGATTGCATTAATAATATGCAGAACCAGATCCAACTTTTGACAAGACTATTTCCCCAAAATTCTTCCCCTCAGAATCTTCCTTCTTCAATCAACTCTAATCTCGCAACAGAAAAACCAGCTTTTTCTTCCATGGATTTTCTTTCGCTCCCTCCAAGCAATTCCAGGGTTTTAAATTTTGGTGAACTCAAGACCGATGTCGATGAAAAGAAGAGATTACTCCTAGAAAAAACCGATCGCTTAGAGACATTAAATTAAACTTCAGCGTTTTGATTGTTCAAGTAATTTGTGTCAAGAGAGCTGAATGTTTAGAGAGGAGAAGGGAGAGTTTACTCTTGAAACTTCCAAACAAGAACGTGCAATCAACTCTAAGTAAAGTTCCTCCTAGTTCTGAATATCTTTTTAGTAAGGAAAAATTAAACCCTTTGATTCAATCTCTTGGTGGTTTACAATCTTGGCTTAACACAAAAGACCAACTCAAGAAAAGATGTTGAATCGCCCTAGAACATCTGCTCGATACCCGTCAATTGGAAGATCCTTTCAAGCTTCCAAGGAACACTACCAACAACGTAGAAATAATTTCAGATTTAAAAATAATACTATCAAGGAGTCTAAAGGTAAATCCCACGATGATTCTTTTCGTAAGAAAGGAGATAAATGACTATCAAGTTCCTCAGAAATTTTCAGGAGGTCAGTTAGCTGCGTTCAAGGAAAGTTGGCAGAAACTGGGAGCTCCTCAGACGATTATAAAAGTAATTTCTGGCTCTCGAATTCCTTTGAACTCAAATGTTCGTTTGATAAACAATTGGAGATTATCCACCTTCGCAACACAAAAATCCAAGCTTCATTTCAAAGATGTTTCTAATAAACAAGAGCAGTGGAGGAGTCAGACCGATTTTCGATTTAAGGAATCTCAACAGGAACGTATCGATAAGAAAATTCCAACTAATTTCTCATTTCAAGATTCGAGATTTCTTACAGACAGGGGACTGGTTGATCCGTATCGACATCACACTAGCCTACTGTCACGTACCGATTGCAGAATCGCACAGATGTCTCCGTCTCATTTACGACAGGGAGCTGCTACAGATGACGTGCTTGCCCTTCGGCTTCTCATCTGCTCCACAAGTCTTCACAAAGGTGACGAACTGGATTGCCGAGATTCTTCGTTCAAAGGTAATGAGAATAGTAGTTTATCTGGACGATTTTCTCATCGCTTGTCAGGATCGCGCGAAATTTTTTCATCAGGGACAGGAAGCAATAGGCCTTCTATCATATCTGGGTTGGACAATCAACAAAGAAAAATGTATCTTGACTCCTTGCCAAGAATTGAAATTTCTAGGGATTGTCTGGAATACCCGAAAAGATCAAATAAAATTACTTGAGAAAAAAATCCAGAAAATAGCACTATTGGTAAGCAAATTGAGAACCAAAAAATTTTGCACACTGAAGGAGGTTCAGTGTTTCCTAGGGCACCTGAGTTTCGCAAACTTTGTAGTCCACAGAGGACGTCTTCATTGCCGATTTCTCCAGAGATTTTCAACAACCTTCAAACAAAAGAGACTCAGAGAAAAACGATTAATTCCTCGGACAAGCATCCAGGAGTTGGATTGGTGGCATGCAGCAGCAACTTAGACTACTCCTCTTCACAGGAAGAGAGTAACACACTTTCTAACGACCGATGCATCAGATTCAGGTTGGGGAGCCCACCTGGACAATTTTCTCATCTCAGAAAATTGGACCCACGATCAGAAGAACTGGCACTCCAACAAGAAGGAAATGTACGCTGTCTACGCAGCAATAAAACATCAAGCCAACTTTCTTAAGAACGCCCACATCCTATTACAAACGGACAATCGCATTCTAGTTGCATATATTCAGAAGGAAGGAGGAACAAGATCCTTGGATTTCCTCGATCTAACCTTCAAGATGCTTCAACTAACGGACAGACTGAAGATAACCTTATCTTCAGCTTACATACCAGGCAGGTACAACGGAATTGTGGATCGTCTGTCCAGAAAAAAAAGATCCCCCAGAATGGCACTTGCTTTCTCAAGCAACCAAGAAGATCTTCAATCAATGGGGAATACCAGAGATAGACCTATTTGCATCAGCAAAATCTGCAATAGTCAAGAGATATGTGTCCAGGGATTGCAAGGATCGTCGAGCAGAATTCATCGATGCCTTCAGCCGACCATGGAATTTCAAACTGGGTTATGTGTTTCCTCCCCCCAGCCTGATACCCCGAGTTCTCAATCATCTGAACAAGTGCAGAGGCGAATACCTCTTAGTAGCTCCAAAATGGGACCAGACGTTCTGGATGTCCGACTTAACCCAGAGAAGCAAGGAACTTCCTCAAACAATTCAGAACGTGAACCAGGTATTATTAGACCTAACGACAATGAATCTCCCTCCAGAAATAGAACGACTTACTCTGCAAGTGTGGAAAATTGGGTGTGAGGGAAATTAATGCAAAACTGGTCTTCTGAAGAAAAAGATTTGATTAAGAAGAGTTGGCGTTCATCTACCTTATCCACTTACAAAGCTCCTATCCCACGTTGGATGACATAGTGTGATCAAAACGGAATTAATCCAGAATCACCTCGTAGCCAGGATCTAGCACATTTTTTAGCTAACATGTTTATTTCTGAGGGTTATGCTTACAATACTATTCTTCTATACAAATCAGCCGTTTTAACATTTTGCGCTGGTATGTCTTCGACTAACATATCCTCAGATTTCTTACTCCGTCAAGTACTCATAGCAATTTTGATAGCAAAACCAACAGAATCGAGACCAGTTATTTGGGACACACAAATATTTCTTGACTGGTTATCCAAACCATCAGCAAACCTATCATTCTTCGACGTATCTCGAAGAACAGCAGCCTTGCTATTACTTGCTTCAGGGCGTCGTATTCATGAACTCACTCTCCTCAAGACTTTAAAGAATTCCTAACTAACTCAGGAGACGAAATTATCTTATGGCCTACATTTGGCTCGAAGACAGATCAAGCAAATTTTAGACAGTCTGGATGGAAATTGTCAAGACACAAGAACGCCAGGTTATGTTCTGTTACCTGGATTAGACTCTTACTTAAAGAATCTGAAAAAAGAAGAACACAGAAAAAATTAGATGATCTGTTTATAAGAGTGACTGGTCCTGCCAAAGCTGCTAGTCGCACAATCATAGCCGGCTGGATTAGAACCGTGTTAAAAGAAACTGGTCTTCAGGCAACTCCCGGCAGCATTCGTTCAGCCGTTGCCTCCAAAGATTAGATAGACAACGTTCCAGTTCAGGAAATTCTAGATAGAGGCAATTGAAAATGTGCTGAAACGTTCAGGAAGCATTACTGTAGACAAGTTGTGGATTCAAGGCAGAACAATTCCAATTCATTACTCTCAACTTTTTCTGCAAATTAAGGTTTCTTTAAAAAGTTTTATTCAGGTATTTCTACTTCTTTCTCAGACCATTTTTAAAATTCTAGACCTACTATTCCCTGATGTAATTCGTACTCCATTTTCCTCGCAAGTACGTTTTTAACTAAGTATTAATAAATTTAGTTTTTCATCTAAATAAAAAATTCCTTCTCACATAGCGTTGAGTTATAATCACCAGTAGATATCAAACTTTAAATCGAAAAAGTAAACAGATACGAACGTCCTTAAAGCGAGCGAATAAACGAATCAAAGCGTACGGAATATTTATAAAGGCGACATGTTTAAATAATATCACGAAAAAGGGAAAACAAAACGTAAAATTAGAAATTTTTTCATATCCGACGATAATGCAATTATTTTCGAAAGCGCAAATTACTGTTTTCGAATGGTGGAGTACGAGGAACAATTGCTTCGTCAATTAAGCCCACGTTTAATATGTTTCTGCCCGCGTTAATGTCTCTTTCCCAGGTTATATTACATTCTTTGCAGAATACATATCTATGTATGTGGACTTTTGGACTTTATAATCATTTTTAAACAATTACTGCAACTAGCAATTGTGTTAAATTCGTTAACGCTGACAATTTTGAAGTGTTCTCTTCCTAGTTGTTTTGCCCGATCTTTAAAACCTTGTTTTATTTTGGTAATAGGGGTAGCCACATACCCTTTCGTAGTATTATTAATTTTGGCATCGCCAAATGATATGAAACATGGGTATTTTTTTGTGTCGCCAATAAAATAGTTGATTATTTTGTCACTCTTGCTGGTGACACATGTACACATGACACATTTTTTGTCTTATTACAGACTTTTTTTCGTGATGACTCTAAAAGGTTTTAAACACATCTAATGAAAAAGTTATAATGTTTTCTAAATTTTTGGGATTAGATTTGCAAAAATTTTCCATGTGCGGATTTTCCGCTACATAATTTTGGAAATATTTTTGAAAATCTATCCCTTTCCTTTTTTTCCTCCCTTCGTCTATATTGACCCATTTGCCAGCGTAAGCTATTGCTTCTGACATAAATGGGTCTGTCCTTGTTCTTCTTACACGTCGACGGGTGAGGTGATCCTATTCGTCGAACTCCCGCAAACGATGCTTTTCGACCAGGATCGAATCTGCATTAATTTCGATATTGTATAGGATTTTCTTCTTTATTATTAGTAGTCAATTCTTCATGTGGAACGTTGTAGATCACACTTGCGTCTACGCCGTTCGTAGTTATGCAATCCGCAAATTTTCATTCCATATTTTTTCTTTCGAGTTTTCCGAAATCGAAAATTGACTTTCATTTCATGTCCTTATCTTTTTCTTTAAACTCCTCTCTTTCCCTTTTTTCCTTCTGGTGGATTTCTGAACGTCTTCTTTTTTTATATATCTTTCTTTTTTCTTGTGGAATTAATAAAAAATTCCGAATGCCATTGGTGTTAAAATACTCCTGTATACGAATCATGAATGGAATAAATTTGAACCAGGAGTCTTCATTAGTCAATTTACTAAAATCTAGATTTCCTTCTGGCCTCAAGAAGTAATCGAAACCGTCGAGATCGCATTTATTGGATTTGAGCAATTTTTTAAAATTTCTTCCGAACCTTTTAAATCCATTATTTTTTTGTCCCTTGAATAGTGTCGCTTCTTTAATTGTCTTTTTTCCCCTTTTTTCTGATTTTGTTTCCTCTTTCTTGGCTTTTTTTAATAAAAATTTTATCTCTATGTGTGTTATCTTTCGCCCTCCGTTGAAGTCTTGCTTCCTTGTGATTTATACGTGGCTTGTATGGAATCTGTGTTTCGCCACTTTCGCTTAGAATTGCAGAAAAATTTCGATCAGCGCGTCGTTGACTTTTTACTTCTTTGCGTCTTTCATTTTTTCATGCATGTCTACATGAAGAGACTGTTTTCCTTCTTCCATATCCTTGTAGTGTTCGTGTTGCAAAATGGCTTCGAAATTTTAAAAAATTTCGCCACAATAACCACATTTCGAAATTTTTGAATTTCCAGATGTACCTTTATTTAATTTCCTTTTGGCTCCTCGCTTTTGTGGTGCTTGATGATTGACCGTTTCATCGCCAATATTAGATCTGTAAATAATAAATAATTTCTGTAAGAAAAATGTATATTATATAAACATTATATATGTAATTGTAGAATAAGTATATTACTTACTCATCGTTTTGTAAACCATTGTCATTAAAATTGTCGAGGGTTTCCAAATTTTGGTCGCAATGAAAGTCATTGCCGTTCTCCTCTCTCTCTTGAATAGGTTCATTGTTTAATCTGAAAATTAAAATTTGTCAATAAGTAAAAAGAAATTTACGTAAAAAGTAATACATGTGAACAATTTTGATTAGAAAATTTTATGTGATTATACTTACGATGAATAGTTATCGAAATATTGCATTGCTTCAAAATGGCGAAATGCTCTTGGATCTTGAAATTTGTGGTATTGGTCTCGAATGTTTCTCCACTCCTTTTTAGCCGATTCTGCATTATGCTCTAAAAAAGTTAACAGAGTGAATGTTTAGTGTATCTTCTTATGTATTAATGTAGTTTACATATTTGTTTTAGGAAATAATTGAATTTCATTCATCTACAATTGGTAAATAAAAATTTAAAATAATGTAATTTAATGAATATGAAAGTTATATTAAATTAATTGAAATATACCTTCGAATAAATTGGCGAAAGAAACCCACATTTCCGTTCCTTTAGAAACAGGATATTTTAATCTCTCCTTTGAGTCGAAAAGGGCTGGAAATTGTTTCATTTTATTTAGAAAGTTTACTTCTTTGTTGAATTTTTGCTCCTTCTTTGTCAACATATCTACATACAAAAAAGTTTATTATTGTTCAATAGTTAAATAAAAAAAAATTTATACAATTTACTTGACTAATATATATTTTTAAAAATATCTATACTCACTCATTTAAACAATTCCGTCATTGCTTAAGGGGGGAACCTCCTTTATTGCGTCAAAAAAATCGACTTTCTGGAAATAATTTTAATTGATTCTACAACTATTCAAGAATATACCCATCAAATTTTTAGACGATTTCTGTATTATTGAAGAAGTTACAAAATTTTTAATTATTTTTTTTTCATGCGTCGTCTGGTGAAATGTTTACCAGAGTCCAGAATTTTTTGTTTTAGCATTCAATCTGCCTTATTCTTTCATTCAGAGTACCACTGTCAGTATAATTTGTAATTTCTATGTGACAACCCTTCTTTCATTTGTTTGACATTCGAGTCACTTTATTTAAAAAAAACTTCAAACGCATTTTTCTCGAAACACCATTTTTTAATTTTGTGAACACGATTGAGAACGCCCTTTTGAACCAATCGGGCTTTATGATATATCATTTTAAAGATAATTAAATAATCTTCAATATGACATTTAGTGTTTCTTGAAAAAAGTTTTTTTAAATATTTTTTTGGAATGTTAAAATCAATTTTTATGCACGAAAAGTCACTTTTAACTTAAAAGTGGGTAAAAAAATCAATTCTCGAAATTTTTTTAAAAAAATCGAAATGTCATATAGAAGGTATTATCCTAAAGTTTAAAAAAAAGTTGGTTTCTTTGTTTTAGAAAAAAATTCAGAGCGCTAGAATGTTCACAGATGAAATGTAGTGCCATGGACGCTGTGTATATTTCCATACTAAAAATGTTTTGTTTTTTCTCCAAACATTTTTATAGACTCTCAAAACATGTATTAAAGTACCATATAAATTGCAAAACGTTTGGAGTTATTTTACCCGAGAAAAAAGATCCCAAAAATGATGCATTTTTCGATCGTCTAAAGGAGGTTCCCCCCTTAACAAAATAGAATGCACATTTTTATCGTGGTCAAAAAAGCAGGTATGTTGAAAATTGATGGAATTTAATATTACTGGAGGTATCTCACATCCGCAATTCCAACATTTCATTTGCTGTTCAAAATAAATTAAATAAAATAAAACAATATATAAGAAATTTTTATTCAAGTCAATTAATTTATGTTTAATAAGAATAGAAAATTGCCAACAATATAAAACACGCGCCTTTTAGAAATTTGACTTAACCAAAACAACAACAAAAATAGTATTAAAAATATTTTTAAAATTTTATAATATATCTATTTCATATTTAAACAAATTTTTTTAAATATAAATTATAAATGAACGTTAAAATAAAATTATTCTTTTTGTAAAACATAACCTTAAACTTTCAAAACATTTCCATTTTATGTATAATATTTTATGCAACAGATATTTTAGTTAATTTCTTATTTACTTACCAGTAGACTACTTTCTTTAAATTCGTCCATTTTATTTTAATTTTTATAATTATTGTTTATTAAACAAAAAGCACCTCCAACTATTTATAGGCGGGATCCGGGTAGACATTTAACTATGACAATATAAGATGTAGACGGGAGAACTACATAAGGCAAAAAATACTAAATTCTAGTAACTTTCATTTTTACGTTTTTCCGTTTCCCGTTTTCACGCTACCATGGGACTGTACCTTTAGTATTTTATAGTAATTTAGGGCCTCCTTACACCATTTTGGCAACAAATATTTATTTGTTGGGTGGTACAGACCAAATATAGCGATTAAACAGGCTTCATACCTCATTCTAGAAATTGTTATTTGCGTCTTCCAAAATTCTGTCTTTTATTTCATTAGATTTAACGATGGATCCGAGACATATTTTTCTGGCTCTCATTACAGTTCCAATTCTTTCAAATTTTTTTATTTTTTTTATGTCGTTCATCAATATTCTCCTCGTGCAATCTCTTTAATTTCTTCATTTTTGAAATAATTAGTTTAGTACTCGTCACATCAGTAGTAGCATCGTGGCTTCCAATTAAAGATTCCTGTTCCTTCGAGGTAAAACACTGAAGAGTGGAGCCTGGATGATCGTAATTCTTCAAGACATCAAGATTTGGACCTAGACTTGATAAATATTATTAAAATAGTGATTAACTATTGTAACTTAATCAATTTATATAATATATAGGTATACAATGCTGTTTCCCAGTGAGAAATTGCCAATAGACTATAATCGGTCCAATATTGGTTGCCGTGCTGGGCGCCGATTGACTCCCAATATTGAACCAATATGGGCTGATGCTTGGGATGTAACAGGTTCGCCAAGCATCGGTTGTTAACATTGGTCCAATATTGGCAACCAAGAGAAATTTTTTTTTAAATATATTTTTTTAATTAAATAATAATAATTAACAATATTAAAGTCCGTATTCCGTTCGCATATATATGTCGTAGGCAAATAGAAGAATCCGGCATTTAGCTTAATGCCTAGGCATTGGGCTAAATGCCGGCAAGTACATAAATGAATCGTGAAAAATGGTTATTTTTCTATTTGCCTGAAATCAGTCATTTAGCTTATTGACTAGGCGTTAAGGAAATTGCCTAAGTAGCACCCGGCAAATAGAAAAATGAGAATATGTGCATGTGTCACTCAACAGAAATATTAAAAAAAATATGTCAAAATTAATTAACACAAATATTTTATTATCAATAATAATAATAATAAAATATTTAGTAAAATGATTGAAATAAAATGAAAAATATAATTCACAAAATAAGATTACTTAGACGTTTTGATTTCCAATATAATGCAATATTAATTGTGGGATAGATTCGAGTGCTTGTTTGTAAATCAGTATTTTTGTTTTTAATTGAAAATTTGAAATATACACTTTCGAAAACTGATGATTAAATTTATATTGTAATTTATATTGTATTTATATTGTACAAAATCGAAGAGAGACTAACTACGATTTCCAATATTATAATATTGGAAATCGTAGTTAGTCTCTCTTCGATTTTGTCAACTAACAGTTGTATTTTATCAAAATGGCCTGTGTTGATAGAGTTATATTCGAAAAAAAATGTAAGGAAGTTATTAAAGGTTGTAGTAATCGAAATAAGTATGTGGAGTGAAAATCAATTGGAAAATGTGAAGTCAATTTTAAAATTTCTGTTGAGTGACACATGCACATATATTCTCATTTTTCTATTTGCCGGGTGCTACTTAGGCAATTTCCTTAACGCCTAGTCAATAAGCTAAATGACTAATTGATTTCAGGTAAATAGAAAAATAACCATTTTTCACGATTCATTTATGTACTTGCCGGCATTTAGCCCAATGCCTAGGCATTAAGCTAAATGCCGGATTTTTCTATTTGCCTACGACATATGTGACGCTCCACGAGAAAAGGGACCTTATGACTTACAGACGAATTTTGCAGGAGAGGCATTTAAAGTGGAACCACTCTGATTGGTCAAGACGTTTCATTGAAAGTCAGTCTTACTACTCACTTCACATTGATAGTTATCCATGTTACACGAAGCGCATGAGTTGTACGTACATAACCTGTGTAGTTGTGTTAGAAAGTAGAGGGGCTGATTTTCTAAACAACCGGGTGTAAACACTCAAAAGGTTCATTTTTAAACATTGATAACAAAAAAACCTGTAAGTAGAAATTATTTTTGCCTTTTGTATATGAAAGAGCAACTCAAAAAGTACGGAATGATATAAATAACTCAAAATTAATTTTTTTGCAGCTAAGGTCCCTTTTCTCGTGGAGCGTCACATATATATTTTGTCTGTTCGCATTTATTTTGTCTGTTCGCAGTTATTTTGTCTCTTCGCAGTAAAAAGGGACCAAGCGCTTCCCGATGCGAGCGCTACTTGGAATTGAGTCCCGAGCAACCTTCACAGCGGGGGTCACTCGGACCCTTAAACCCTCATTAAGGAAAACTGTTAATGACTTTTCTATAATAATAAAAATATAAATTTTTAAATAGTAACATTTTTAATTTTTAAATTAACATATTTAAATTCCTTACTTTTTCACAATTTTATACAAAATGTTGTCTACCAAAAAAATGTTGAAATTTAAAAATTAAGTTAAATGGTATTTGCTTTAAATACTGCAAATATTGGGTCAAATAGCATTAAAGTGATTTAGATAAAACCTATGAGATACAGTAAATATTTATTTAATAATAGGTATGGTTTTTGGTAGAGTAACTTTATTCTATGTATCTGGAAAAAATAATACATTTTTTTAAATTTAACTTTTTTTTGGTAAACAACATAATAATGTATTATAAAAGAAAACTTTCGATTTTTAACTTCACCATTTTCAACTTGGCTACAAAAGAGGGCGAGTGCAATGTATGGAATGAGACGATTGCAAAGAGAGGGGCTAACGAAATTAGCAGTTGTTTATTTAAATTTATTATTGCTAAATGCGAAACAGGCATAAAGGAATTTAGATTTTTTAGTGATAATTGCACAGGCCAAAATCGAAATCAAATTTTATATACTATGTACTTAAAAGCAGCTTCTGATTTGAAGGTGACTATCACTCACAAGTAATTTGTTTGTTAATAATTATTAATCTCTAAAAAATTTTTAGCCAAAATCTTTAATTAAACTATTTATATGGTACTGAATCACAGTATTTTTTAATTTTTAAAACTCATACTCTGAAATGATAGTTAATCGAAAAAGAAATTCATCTAATAACTTGTATTTAATTAATTACATTATTTTCTAAAGGTACTTAGTGAAAGGTCATACGCAAACGAGTGGCGATTCAATGCACGCTATGATAGAAAACGCATCAACAAATCATACCGTTTACACTCAAAATGAATGGTGCGACATCATGAGAAATGCGAAAGTTACGGAGCCCAAATACATAGTACATGAAATTTCTCGAGAAAATGTTTTTGACTTTTCAAAATTATCGGACAAAACGTTTTGGAGTAAAATTAAAATATCTCAAATTAGTGAAATAAGAGTATGCCCAAATAAAAACATTGCTTTTAAGTACAATTACTCAGACCATGCAACAGAGAAAGTCGCTACTATTAATGAAAAAAGAGTTTTGGAGCAATGTTATTCAACAAAATTGGCTCTTGATAGTGAGAAGAAAAAGGATTTGATTTACCTCATGAAGAAGCAATTGATTCCTGAAAAATACCATTCCTATTACAATCGAATTTTGAACTGAACGTTTATTTTATTATGTGTTATTTAATAACAATAATATTTAGTACATAATAGATATTTATTGTATATTAAGTCAGTAAATATAATTAAATAAACAACATTTTTGAGATTATATTTTAATTCATTTATATGTTTAAATATTAACTTTATAAATTAAGTTTATTATTTGATTATTTAGACATTAATTATGATTATTTAGACATTAATTTCTTGATTAAAAAACATTTTTTTGAATTTCTTATATTCTTATTCTTAACCAATCAATATTAAATTTAAAGTTTCACAAAAAACTTCATTCTTGAGCATCTTTAAATGTTTTAATTTGATTTTGATCAATTGTCAAAAAATTGTGGCGCATTGATCACACTGATCTTTTTTGGGACGATGAAATGATAAATTGAATTCGTGATTAAAAATATGACGATATCGATATTCCGAAGCAATAATCGGTCTGTTGTTTTGAGCCATATATTCCTTATACATCGTATACATTTTTGAAATATTTAATTTTTCATCCAAGTACTCTCGTGTTGAATTAGATCGGCAGTAATGAGATTCTATTCTTTCGAACAGTCCAATATGCTCGCGAACAGTGTTTTCAGTATCTTCTGATACCTTTTTCGGTTTATTATGATGTTTGCCACGCATATCAGCAGTAATTAAGTGTCCTCCCTGTCGGAAGAATGGACTGAAAAAGTACTGAAATTGTACTGGCCTCCAGTACAATTTCAGTCCGTTTTTCTAAATATTTCGGTAGACATTTTTAAAGTCCTTTAACAATAGTTTCAAATGTAGGTTATGTCAACAAACCATTTTTAACAGTTTAGAAGTGAAAATAAAAAAAGGTTAACAAAATTTTCAACGAAATTCCCGTTAAATTTTAAACTTATATTGCAACCCCTGCTTTAACAATAGACCCGAAAGCCTATTGTTGTATGGGATTATAATTTTATGGCTTAAAAAGTTTACAATTTAAATAATTCAATTTTCAAAACAAAAAAATTTTAATCTGTGATGTTTTATGATTACAAATATCTAAAATTCATTATAAAAAATGTTTAATTAAAAAAGTTATAAACTATCTCGCAAACTCTAATTGTTACGTAAAAACGGATATTATTTTTGAATTTAGATTAACATGAATATTTAGCATACATAATAATTACTTGTAAAGAATCTGAGTTCATGAAAAACAAATAATGTTGAAATATAAATAAAAATTATTTTTAACATTAACAAAGAAATATTCGTCCTTCAACTTAATGACGGTCAGGCCATAAACATCACCGATAGCGACCCTTTTGCAGGTAATTTTTCCCAGTACAATTTCAGTGCTGAAACGCAGAAAATTTTCACTGAAATAGCACTGAGCTCTCAGTACTAATTCCCCAGTACAATTTCAGTCCATTCTTCCGGCAGGGCTGATGCAGATTGTTGCTTTTTTCTTGTGATCGTGTTTAATACAAATTTAGAAATACCTAATAATTAAAATAACATTTTAATCTCTATTGTATACAATATAAAAAGATAAATGAAAGATTTTAAAAATAGACTACTAATTTTATTAAAAATAAACTAAGATTAAGAATAATTTTCGCCAAATTCTTCACTGTTTTTAAAAAACGAAAATTTTAAGAATAAATATTGCTTTACCCAACGGGAAGTTGCCAATGTTAACGATTGGTTCAATAATGGGCCATGCTTGGTACCCAATGGTTTTTTTTTGGCAAAACAATTGGCAACCATCATTGGACCACCAATGGTTTAAACTTGGGATGATCACGCTACTGCCAATGATCGGTAGCCAAGCATCGGGTTAATATTAGTTGCCAAGGAATTGCCAAGGATACAAAATCGATTTTCAAAAGCTTGATTTTTTATTGGCAGCCAACAAAAAACCAAGGTTTTGAAAATTGATTTTTTAAAAAATATTAATTAAAATTTTTTTTTTAAATTATTAATTAAAATTTATTTTTAAAAAATACATTTTTTAAAAATATATATTTTTTTAAATTAATAGAACATATTAATTTAATTTGTCACCTCTGGTAAAACAATGAAAGACTGATAAATTCCCTCACTTTATATTTTACGAGAACGATCGCGCGCTGCCGCGCGCGCGTTTTTTCTCTTGCATTTTTATTCTTTAAATTACAGTCTTTTGTTTGTTAAGGTATCAATTTGAGTGACAGTTTCTGATAATAGGAATTTTTAAATATTATTCAATTTAATAAAATAATAGCCTATGTTGTGCGTAAAACAATTTTTTATACCTTTACAATTCTAGTTCTGTTTTTATCTGTTTGTAAATGTATCATTTCTAAAGTTTATGGTTTTGATAAAAAAAACAACACTTTTCTTTGCTTAAAGAAAAGCGTATATTTCAAGAATAACACATTTTATAAAAAGTTTTGTACGATGAAGTTATAGAAAACCTTTTTATAATCAAAGTAATCTATTTGTTAATTAAATTTTGTAACATTTAAAATCTTCCATAGTAAATTTATATTTTAAAAAATAGTGATGAAAGAAAAACGTTACTAAATAAACAATTTTTAACTATTTTTCACTTAGCTAGCAAAAAACATCTCTACTGTCAAAGAAAGCCATAAACAGAGGATATTAAATTAAAAATTTACTTTTGTTTCTTAAAATCGTTCCTACTTTTGCTATAAAAAAGAAATATAAGTGTGGTTTCTGTAAATATTATACAAAAAATGTAAGTACTCCGTCATTTCGAAGAAAATAATTTATTTCAATATATGCTTTTCTATAAGATTCATGGGATGCAAAATTTCGTTAATAATCTTGAGAAATATTATCTTTAAACTTTTTTCAAAGTTCATTTGGATGAACTGGTTGGCAGTACATTAAAATACGTACAAATAAGTGTCTTAATTATCTGAAGTTTGAACTATTATTTGAAATTAGGAAATTAAAACGTCTTTGACCAATTGATAAGAAAGAAACGTGTAAAGAAATCTTACGTGTGAATCTTATTACAAAAAAATGACGTAATTTACCAATAACAAGCGTCGAAGAAAGTCTTACGCGTAAAGACAGCCATACTGAGACACACTCCTTTTTTAAGAAAAAAAATATATAACGACTCAGACATTTTTATAGAAAAAATATTTACTTTTATTTCAATAATTCAGTGTAAACATAATTCTTGATTAGTAAATTAGATCTTTAATTTCCTAAATATATAATTAATGATTCCCAAGATTATCACCTGTTAAAATACGACAACGTAGCAGATTGTTTGATAGTTCTAATACCTGCATTCGCGTTCCATTACATAAACCTTCATTAATACTAAGATTTCGAAGTAGCATGACAATACAATTGGCTCTTAATCGTAATTCATAAGGCGGGAAATTTGATGGATTTAAAGTATTCAAATACTCTGGTAAAATAGCATCATTTATACTTCCATTATCACAATTTTCGGTACTATCAACACTTGTATAAATTCGCTCACTTTTATTATCAAACAGTTCGAGTACCTTGTTGTTAATTTCATCAACATCAACATTTCGAGCAGACAATATTGCTACTTTTGCTAAATCATCGTATTTATTATTGATAATTAATTCTCCAAATATTTTATGAATGATATCACCATTTTCTACACATTGCTCTGGTACTAGTATATTATTATCATCATCATTTAAAGTACCATTTCCAACTGATAATAAATATTCTGAAAATTCTTTTTCACCAGGTAAAGTTCTCATATTTTCTGTTAATGATATCACCTTAAAATGACTCCATAATATGCTAG